TCTGACTAGCAGTGTACATGTTAAATTTATTGCTTCCTTTCCCAAATTTTAATCACCCCTAACCTGTGAGCCCTCAATGCCCTGTAGAAATGGCACACACACCGCACTGCTAGGCAATGCCATCCTCAGAGCCAGCAGTACTGCTATTAGGGAGGTGTACACCTAGTTTTACTTTTACATGTCTACTCCTCTGGTATCAGTGACAGAAATAGAATCAACCAGTGTCCCAGGGCCACATTACATCACGGTTGAGATGTGATAAATTTAGGATATAAGCACACTTCACTCTTAAGACAGTGCTCAGCCACAGGTGCTGGGAGAAGAGAATAAGTGCTCAGACTCTCTTTCTCTAAGCCCACTGGTCTGGGGGTTCAAGACATCCCCACCTGCAGTTTCATTAGTGCTCCTCTGTCAGGAATTAACATTTGCACCGTGCAAAGTCAGGCAAGAAAATAGGAGCATAAGCCTCGGACTCTCCCGAACAGAGTGCCTGAGCATGCACTTTCACCTACTAAGCTGCACCCTAGAGTGGCTGGGGCATGAGTAGATCTTTTCCCCATCAAGATGATCAGTGCTAGCATCAAAATCCAAAGAGTGAAGGACAAAAGGTTTCTTTAGGGACAGGTCATGTCACTAAGTCAGAGGATACGAGTACTACAGGTGGCTCCACCACTGACCCCCACACAAACTTGAGCAGGACACTCGGCTCTCTGCCTCCTGCTCCTTTCCCAAGCTTTGTCTGGATATATGCCAAATGATCTTGGAAGGAACTGTCCCCTCTTAAGGTTTGTATGAGGCACAGCAAGACTCCCCTAAGGTGACTGCAATTAAAACGAGACTCAGATCTACTCCAGAGTACTGATCTGCTACTCTACATCGGCAGTTCACAAACTTGCCACTATGAGAGATACTCAGCCCACAGTCTGGGTACAGTGCTTACAGATCATTTAGACGCTACAACCCTAGATTACATGCCGTTTTAGTCTAGCTTTTGTCCCAGCCGTTTTCTTCTCCTAATACTCTGTGTCATCTTTGGAGTCATGCCACAAAATCTGCGGTTCCTTTTTTTTCCACGCACAATCAGATTCGCTTAGAAACTGATGCTCTCAGCAACACATTCACCAAATTCTAAACAAACCATTCAATGTATTTACAGCTACACTGCATCATCAGACAAAAAGATTACAATATTTACTGCAATGAATCACCATCCCTCTTCTAATCAAAACCACACTTATATACAAAACTTTTGATCTGATTCCTTATCTGCTTGCAGATGACTGCGCTACTCCAAGTCAATGACTGACAGCATTCATTAACTCTTAAGACTTTATCGTACCAGCATCTGAAATTCTCAAACTAGTGGAAAAAAAAAAACATCCTGAATATACCCGGCAGAAGTATAGCATCAAATTCAAGTAATTCTAGTAGTAAATACCCACAATCAGATTAGGAAGGTATTCTGGATAATACATCACGTTACAAGCCCTGACTTTTAAAATCCAATTACTGCTGTTCCCAACAAATAACTAGCCCTATTATTCCAACTCTGGAAGGACAACTCAGCCATGAAAGAATTGCAATGCTAAAACTGAAGTGTAACCTTAAGATCCAGAGGGAAAAAAAAAAAACAAAACACCAAACAGTTTTAATTTTTAATGCGTGTCCTTAAACTACCGAGGCTTATATTGCAGTTTATTGCCTGATGCCAGAGTTCCCCAGAAGGCTGCATATTATGGTATGGGTTAGCTAAAGAGCGAGAAGGTAAATCAGATTAGAACCTCAGTGTTTGTTACAAATGGTTGTTTCTCAGCTTTTAGTTTTTATTAAGTCTTAAGAGAATGCTTATGCATATGGATGTCTAAGAGCAGCTCCAGAAGTGATACACTGGTCAGTTTTGGAGATGTGCTGCTCAGAGGGGACAAATGGGCCTCCTCAGGACATTCACCACATCACTGTGTATAAACTGATACTGCCTGTTACCCAGAAATACTAGATAATCAGATGTGTGCACATGGGAGGGCATATGGACAGAACACTCTCTTCCTTGTTACTTACAGTGCTCAACCCAGGTGAAGCTCTAGCACAGGGTTCTTCAGCCTTCCCATCATTAATTAAACCTGTGCTTTGTGTCTGTCTGTTAACCACATTACACAGCTTGGAGAGCCAGAGGGGAAGAGCATTAGCAGCACTTGTTAGCTGGGACAGAAACAGCTCCCTGCAGGGATCTCACTGCTTCCAGGCAGAACGAGGCAGGAGTCAGCAGAGTCCTGGAGTAACCCAGTAAAACAGGCCCCCAGTTTCCTTCTCCTGCTCACCAAAATCCTGGAGTCCTCACCCCACCTTTGCACTGCTGCTGGTTAGGTGGTGAGGCCCCAGCACAGAAACCATTCTTGAGCTGCTGGATGTTTGTGGTTCAAAGTTAGTCATACCCACACTTTAGGGGCACTGGTTTATTCTACAACTTGCCTGACAGAGGAGATTCGAGGCTGACCCAGGCCAGTGTGGTAAGACCACACAGTCAGCTGAACAAACACTTGATGATGACATCCACAGCCCCCAAAGTTAACAAATTACCACCAGGACTGCCAGTACTCCACTGGAGAAAAATTAATAATGACGACTCCAGGCTTTGTTTGCAAAGTTGGCTGTGAACTAGGTAAGCTATATCCACCTACAGCAAGGGTACACGAGAGCAAAACCAGCAGCCTTCAGGTCAAAGAGCCTGCCCATGGAATATTTTCTTTAAATATGTTCCACAAGCCCTCTGTTCTACCCTGAAGACTGCCCAAGACCTTTTTTATATGCTTCAATCAGGACCACGATTCCTTGTCTTTTTTTCCAATACACCATGTGTAGGTACTGGAAGGATTTCGGGTTACGTAGGGGGATTTTTTTGTTCCATGTTTTGCTAAGCTTTACTCTGATTAAATGTTAATGTATTCTATCCATCTAGAAGCTGCAAAATAACACCACAGTGTTATCTAGTAAATATTACTATAATGCTGTAATACTTTTGACCTCAAGAAAAAGAAAAAGATTCTAAAATGTTCCAGTACAAATACTTGCCGAGAACACCTACCATTTTATAAAGCTGTGCTTTCAGGCGGTATGAGTTATATTCCATTTTTCTCTTCTCTTCCTCCCGCTTCTTCTGCACCTCTGGCAGCTGTTCATAGATCCTTAAATGTAAATACAAGAAGTCAAAAATAGTGACCTGGAAGGAAGGACCTTACTGATATAAAAACAACATCCTCTGCTTTAGCTTCACATTCTGTTAAAGGCTACTGGCCAGCTACAGCATAAAAACAGTTATTTGGGGGTTTACTAGTGTCACACAAGGGAAAATGCAGAATATATAGCAGTTGTGATACCGGAAATTCCCACAGCACATAATGCCCTTCTCTTACAAGCAGCACCCTCCTAAAAGGAGTATTTTTAACACTATAATGATGAGACAGATGATGTGATTACCCAGCTGCAAAAGGTTCAATATCTTCAGCACAGAACGGCCCCATTGCTTTGAGGATATGCTGATGCTGGGCAACACGTTTATCCACCAATAGCAATATTTTTATCACAAGTTAAGCCATTTAGGCATCTTTTCAATATTTTAGTATTTTCAACATTCAACAGTGTTGCCCCGGTTTAGGTGAGGGATGTTTTGAGCTGAACAGAAGGTGCTCAGCACAGAGCCAGTGCACTATTCCAGTCTGCTTTATGTGCTACCATCTAAAGGAGGAACCCGAGAGCTTGGATGGCAGCGTATGGCTCACACTGCCTTCCCCAAATCTTCCTCTGACATCATAAAGCTTTACTAATTTCATGACAGAGGCTGCCAAGAAATCTGCAGCTTCAAAAACGTTGTGGTTTATGGGAGGTGAAAAATCAATGATGTCCAAAAATTTCAGTCCTGTAATATTTCAAGCGAGACAGATCTTACTCTAACTCTTCTTAACATGCTGATTTGATAATCAGCAAATAGGAAAAAAACCTAAAGTCATCCTGTTACAGATACAATACTGCATTACACTCCTTTAGAGGTTGTATCATTCTTACATCAGTATAATATCTTCGCATAATTACTGTTGGCACTTCAAATATTTGTAAAGACATCTATGCCTTCAACTCGTATTATCTGAAAGCACTTTGACACACTCCATTTTGAACACTGCAAATCGATACAGCCCACCAGCCAGGAGGGGCACCTCTGACCAGTTGCCTTGGTACTAATTCCAGCAGGAAAAGAAATAATATTTCAGCCCAGCAAGAGAAGTGAGGGAGGCAAATGTGTATCAGTTTGCAGGCGTTTGCTATTTTATCAGCACAAGTTAGGTGTCACTTGCATGTTTCAAAGGACAGAAGGACCAGGAGTTAGCTGGAAAGCAAATAGGAAGCTGTATGATAACTCATAACTAAGTAGGCAGAATCACAAAAGCAAGGAATCAAATCCAGATCTCAATTGGGACTGAATTTTCCCTCCTGTCTAATTCAGCAGCATCAGCTAGGGAGAGCCAAACACATTTGTGGCTTCTACAGTCCCCCACACAAATGTGTTTACCAGTCCATCAGACTTCACAGTGGAGTTGATAAGCAAGCAAATACACATCCAACACAAAAAAAAAAAAAAAAAAAAAGCAACTGCACTCCTTCCAGTGACCTACCTTCCTGTGGATCCCTATTTTCCTACTCTCTGCAGTTGCTCTTAGGAGGTCATCTTTCCTAAATATGTCACTACCCAGATTACTGCCACAAAAAAGAGAAAATAAATCACATTTTCACATTTCTTTTACTCCTCCTATGCTTTGCTGGATGGCAGCAGAGGGTGCTAGGTCTATGCGTGTGTTACTGGATGGAGGGAGGGATACAGCCACGATTTGGGGCTTTGCTTTACTACCGTCTCACCATCCTCTAAAGGCTTTTGCCATTCTAGGGCTCCCCTCACACAAGATCAAGATTTACCCCTGAAAAACCATCCCACATAAAGATGTTTAGAGCAAGAAGCGGGCAATGCAGAATTATAGGTAAATTCATTAAAAATTGGTTTCATTACTTCTGGCTAATTTGCCATGAGAAATTCCATTTATACCCTCACAGAGAAAAAGAAAAAAGCTTCTGCACTCATTATAGGTGTGGATTTCGAAAGAATGGTACAGAATAAATTACTTCTCAGCTCCAACTGAGAGCTGGAGTATGACAGCAGCAAGAACAAAAAAAAAAGTCACCAAGTGTGACTGCCTGAATCAGTCTCCATAGAAATCCTGCTGACTTTGGTTATTACGAAATCAGAGTTTCTGAAAATATAGGAGTTCAGATACATCGATCTCACAGTCCAAGTGACCTGAACCTGAATCCTTCTCCTTCAGTTAAAACATGGGGAGATGCATTCCTTTGGGGAATGGACATATTTCCCGTATTTACCACTTATGTCACCTCTCTAGTAACACCCTAAAAATACTTTAAAATTAAAATAAACCATTATTTTTGGACTCTCCTATCATATATAAGAAGGGGTTTACTTTATATATTGCATATTCCAGTAGACATTTTTTAGAATCACCACATAATGGAGGTTGAAAGGCAACCTCCTGAGGTCACCTAGACCAACCTCCTGCTCAGCGCAGGGATAACTTCAAGGCTAGATCAGGTTCATCCTCTCAACCTGTGACTCTTCCCACGGATGGCAGCTCTACCACCTCTGCAGGGCCCTGGTCCACCACTTCACCACCCTCCTCCCAAAGAACTGGCTTCCTCCTCTCCTGCTCAGGTTCCTCCTTCCTGTAACACATCGCTGCTGCTTGGCCTGGCACTGTGCACCTCCAAGAAGAGTCTTCCTCTGCCTTCTATAAACCCTCCTTCTGGCAGGGAAGTGCCACCACAGATCCTCATCTTCAGCCTCCTCCTCCTCCCTGGGCCAAACCACCTACAGCCGCCTCCTCCTCCCTGGGCCAAACCACCTACAGCCGCCTCCTCCTCCCTGGGCCAAACCAACCCAGGCCCCACAGCTTCTCTTCATCCACTGTGTGCTCCAGCCCCCTGAGTGTCTTGGTGGCCTCCACCAGCCTCAAGTCACTTTGCTGACAGCCCAGAACAGGAGACAGGATCCGGCTGTGGTCCCATGAGTGCTTCAGCAGAGGGAATATCCACTTCCCTCCACCTGCATGAAATACAGCGTGCTGCTGGCCTTCATCCCTGCCAGTACTGCTGACCCGTGTTTGATCTGCCTCCCAGCAGCTCCTGGGCCCCCAAGACCCTTTCCAGAAGGGCCACTCCACAGGCAGTCTGTCCTCAAGACACTGCCACCAGGGTGTGCTTGGGGGTTTCTGTCCCATGGAGACACTTGGCATTTGTCACTGCTGAACTTCATGAGATTCCTCTTCATCCTTTCCTCCAGCCTGCAGAGATCTCTAGAAACTGTAGACCTACTCTCCAGCACCCTGACTGGTCCTCCCAGTCCAGTGTCACCTGCAGACCTGTTGAGGTGTGCTCCATCCCATTGCCACGAGCAAGGAAGATGCTGTGAAACAGCCCCGGCTCACGGTATTGTCCCTTTCACACAGCACAAACCCTTCCCTGCACATTGCCTGCACATTCCAAGGCTTCAATGCCACAAAGCATTTTAATATATGCTGAAATCCCAACTACTTAAAACATCCCTTGCCTCAAGGTACGCTCGACCTTTGTTTTGTTTTGACTCTAAATAATTTACAGTATCAATGTATTTTTATGTAACTTTACAAGTTAACAGAGACGACTTCATAAGTCTCCAATTTACTTTTAAGTATTTATGCTGTTTCTCAGCTGGTACTCTTCCAAACCACCTCCTCTTGACCCCACTACTGTTTCAGAATCTGGCTGCAATACACTCAATTTTTTATTATACCTTCACATGCTCTCTCTGTAGTATAGGTATTCCAAACGTTTAATACATTGTTAGTGTGCTGTGCATTTTAGATATGAATTGAGTCAAAAATAAGGCAAAAAAAAAAAAATCTACGGTAAGGTGGTTTTCTTCAAGAGTAAAAGCCTCTGTATTCCTTTGTGAGTAATTAGTTCTTCCATCAAACAACTTTCATTTGGTGAAATGAAACCTCACTTTCTGCACCAATTACCTAGTTTGGTAATGTTTAAAATTATACAGACCACTCTAGTGGCCCACACCCTGCATTTCTTCTCCTTTCAGGCTCCAGTACTTGCAGAGTTTGCTCTAGCGCCTGGATGGCAGATAGTGCAGCAGAATACTCAGGTTTACTTACAGAAATCATTTTTCCAAAGTGATCTTGTTTTTCAGATTTTCTAATAAATGTTTTGTCCCTCTGATAAGATGCCTACATCTTGCACTGAAAAAGCTGAGTTATCCCCAACACTCAATTCTCTGACTGCAGATACCATTCATCCATCTTTTCCACCCAGGTCACTTATCCACCTGAAACAAATTTTTCTTAACCTTACCGTTTAGATCTTTGAACCATTTCACTCTTTGGAATTGTTCTTCTCTTTTCTCTAATCAGAAAACCTAAATGGGAGAATTTTGAGGTAAGAATGAACAAGTCTACTTCTCACAAAGAATACTACTGCAACAATGTGACTCCTTCATAAATTATAGATTCTTATAGACAATAATGTTAATTGTAATACTGTTATGAAAAATACACACACCCTTAAGGATAATGTGGAAATTCACTATTTCCTATAGAATGTACAAAGCAGAACCACGAAGGTACCTCTGTCAGACATCATGTGACTTGCACTCCTGTAGCCCTTTCTTTTCCCTGGAGGATTAAATAGCTTCTCTCGTTCAGACTGCAGTACGCTCTGTATCCTCCTCTCCTCCATTACAAGCTTCAGATGCTTCACACGCTCTCCAGAACGGGAGATGAAATCAGGGCGATGCACTGCAAGAGCCTCCTAAGATGGGATGACACAAACAAAGTCTAAAGTGGCCAGACTGTCTCCCTACAACTGGAAGGGAATAAACAAAATATCTAACACCATTAGCAAGTATGGGGAAAAAAAAACCAAACAACAAAGTAGCATTTGTTATAACATACAAAATCTTGCATCCTTAATGCTGGGTAGATCCTCAGAGAACTTGTTAAATTGTCAACAACCAGAAAACTAACTGGGCAGAAAGAATTAAAAAATTTGCTAAAATGATTAGCAAAAGGGACATAAACCTCTTCTCAAAAAAGCGTAGCAAAAAGTTAAAGCTGAGCCCATAGGACAGAAGATTCTATAAGTTACAGTCTCCCTTGTTATAAATTAGTAGGCACATCAACATTAGGAATTTGTTTTGGTTAAGTAGTGGAATTTTGGAAACCATCTCCATTTGCCACACTCCTGTTTCCATCACGGGGCAGTCTCTGAGTGCACAAACAGATGCGACTGAACTCAGATAAACTTCAGACATGCACCTTAGTTAGAACTTCCCATTTTACATTTCATTTGCGCGGATGATCTCTTTCCAAAATATTTCTGCACGCTGTATCTTGTATTTTTCCACCAGTAGAGTGATCACTCCTGATCTGACGTGTACACGTACACGCACGTGTATGTTTGTACACACACACAAACAGTTGGCACTGTATGAATTAAAGCCCCTTTTAATCATGCACTGTGTACATCACGCAGTATTATTTCTGTATGGAAGCAACTATGACTTGATATTATGTCAGCTACACTCCCTCTAGTTCCTGAAGCCAAATGATTTAAGCCCTAAAATATTAGATCAGTTCAAATAGATTAGTAGATTGTGGAAAGCCAGATTACCATAAGCAAAAAGCAGGAATTTGTTGGGTTTATTGGATTTTTTTGACTTTTTTTATTTTTAAAGGGGAACAGTTTGCAACACGTCGACTTCCAGTGATTATAAAGGTGAAATAATAAAGAAATAAAAGGAATAAAAAGTGTTTCCAAAAGATTCAGCATAACTCCTGCAATCCTGCCAAGATTTCAGCAGCCTTATAGCACGGTGTGGCTTTACCTGTAGCGTCAGCTTCACGAACGGCCGTGAGGACCTGTGCTCAGCATCTCTTTCTGGAACTGCTGGCCGAATCATGCTGCAGTGCTGCTGCTCTTGCCAGTTCTTCTCCCGGAGAGGCTCTCTCCAAGGCTTCATGCTGGTCAATGGTTCAAACCAAGATGGTCCGGGACCAGAAAAGGAATTGGAATGGTTTTCTTTCCTAGATTCAGATTTCAAGTCTTCTGCTTGGACGAACCAGGATATCCCTGTTAAAAGGCCACAGAAGAGAATAAAGATTTGTACACAACACATGTGCCTGTTTTCCATCCCCATCTCTGACTCTTTATGCCTGTGATGGTTTTGGCTGGGATAGAGTTAATTTTCTTCACAGTAGTCAATATGGGCTGTGTTTTGGATTTGTGCTGAAAAGAGTGTAGATAATAAAGTGGTGTTTTTGTTATTGCCAAGCAGGGCTTACACAGAGTCAAGGCCTTTTCTGCCTCTCACCCACCAGCGAGCAGGCTGGGGGGCACAAGAAGTCAGGAAGGGACACAGCTGGGACAGCTGACCCCAACTGCCCCCAGGGATGTCCCAGCCCATATGGCATCCTGCTCAGCTCATAAATCTGGGAGGAGGAGGAGGAGGAACGGGGGGACATTCAGAGTGGTGGTGTTTGTCTGCCCAAGTCACTGCTACATGTGATGGAGCCCAGCTTTCCTGGAGATGGCTGAACCCTGCCTGCCCAAGCGAAGGGGTGAAGGAATTCCTTGTTCTGCTTTGCTTGCGTGCACCGCTTTTGCTTTCCTTATTAAACTGTTTTTATCTCAACCCACGAGTTTTCTCACTTTTACCCTTCCGATTCTCTCCCCATCCCACCAACAGGGGAGCAAGCAAGAGACTGGGTAGGGCTGAGCTGCTGGCTGGGCTTAAACCACAACAAAGCCCAAGGTCTTAGCTAAATCCAATCAGTGGCTTAACACTGCAATACTCGCTTCAGTTTAATAACAGTGGGACTCTGTAGCAGGCACCTTTGGCAGTTTCAAAAGAATTTCTTTGCCAAGTGTCAGAAAACCAGCAAGTCTTTATCAAACAACACTTTCGAAAAAGCACAAAATGGCTTAGTTTGCGAGTTTGTCTCTATAGACAGAAGAGTTATTTATCAGCAATTACATCTCTAAGAAGCCTCTCTGCTGTCCTAAGCCCTATGGCTTTTTATATATATTTTTGAAGATCAAATGCTTTACATCTTCTAAATGTTAAATATGTATACAAGAATTAGATTACTCACAGTTTACATACATAATGGGATTTGAATACATCAGCTAGTACTCTGAGCAGATATTCTAAAATTTCTAAATTAAACCAGTATGAGAGAGTATGATTTGTCCCTACAACAGCAGCAATGATGACTAAGGAAAATATTTTTAAACATTTAATCATGACATTGTGAAGACTGACAGGAAATTTAAAAGAAAAAGAAAAAAGTGAGGAGGCTACACCATTGGCCCAAAAATGCAACTCTAGCTAAAAGAGGGAGACGAGCCTAGTTCTTCAGGTACCACAATCTTCCCTCAAGTACTCCTGAAAAAGTTTTTGTTCTTTGAAGCCTCAGTACATGAAACAGTACGTACAACTTAGAGCAACCAGTTACCCAGAGTTTAACAGAACCTTTTATACCTTGAAAACCAAAATTAAGTATCTACATGATTCCCACCTCATTCATCTTTCCTTGCCTTATTCATTGCTTCTTCTCTACTACCATTACTGCCTAGGTTGCATCTAACAGCTTGACTGAAAATGCCATCACAACAGAGCACTAGAGAGTTCACTCGACTTAAGTGTTTCTGTTTAAAATTCACTGATTAAAAACAGAATAAGAACTGACTGTACTACTGACAGACTGTACTACTGACAGACTACTCTGTGTCCTAGCTAATCCTCCTCACATATTGTGCTGGTTGCCGTTGAGATGTACAGCTTTTCTGGTCCGCAACGAAAGTGTATTTTGGACTGACCTTGTGGCAAATGCAGCCTGCTCCTTTTCGTCCTTTTCTCCACAAAAAAATTGCCTGGCTGTCCCTTCTGCTTATCCTTGCTTCCTGCTGCCTGATGATCTGTGACCATACCATCTGACTCTCCAAAAATACCATCCACACAATGCCAGGGTTCCTGTGGCCGTTGATTTGGCTGGCTAGATCTTGGGGTAGGAAAAGTCACACCAACATCTCGAGTGTTCTTCTTAGTTGCACTGTTCACAATCTCCAAGTCTCCTGTAGTTGAAAATGAAGCAGAACCATCTTATTCCAGAGCAGCTGGAAGGTCTCCCAACATCAGCGTGCGTGACACGCATAGTTCAGGAGACGACCCTTAATTTTTAGTTGGATGCTGAAGGATCATTTTCTTGACCCCACCTTCAAAAGGCAAAATCTTTTATATTCCCACTTCCAATTCAAAGAGTTTAGAATGACTCAGGATAGTTACTATATGATAATCTGAGTAAAATTAAAGTGGTGTAAAGTGCCCCAAGCAAAGCAAGCATGTGTGTGTATATATATGTGTGTGTGTTTTAGCTATAGAAGATTGGTTTGCTCACAGCACTACCAATGTTTAACAGAAACACCAGCACAAATATTTAACAGAAACATATAAAGTGGAAGGTGTCAACTAACATTCAAAAAGTCATAATGTGATCTTGAAAACAAGCCATGACAATATTTTTCTGATTCAATCCATTTGCACATGGGGGAAAAAAAAACCAACAAAACAGTAATAAACAAATAATTGATGTCTGATGAATAAAACAAAGCTGTTACTCAATCTGATGACTGGAAGTTAGCATGTAAATGAAAGCTATGAAAAAAGCTGATAATTGCCACCAGAAAAACCCACATGCAGAACCGCAGCAGTCCAGGATCAGTTTATGTTTTAAACAGAATATAACATCCAAAATATTACCAAGAAGAATATGAAACACTGCAGTTGCCTTCTGAAATAAAGGATGTCTACAAAACACATTCTGTGAGTAGCAGATACCTTGCAGAAAAAACAATATATAAAAAAAATACAGTTACTCCACCTTTGCTTGTTGAAAGGGACCAGAAGCTTAGGAGGTTAATAAACTTCTAAGTATGTGAGAAAACTGGCTACTAAAGGCAGACCAAGAAAGGAAATGAAATGGCTCATTTTTCTTACAACATGACATCTCTCTCTAAAAGCATTCGAAGTGAATTTGAAGAATGCTGCTTGTACATACCCGTCACCAGAAACATGCAACAGGCTTTGGAGAGTGTTTTCCAGAGATGAAAAGCAGAAGCAAATACAGAAGAGAGAAGTCTGGGATTCAACACCTCACCTGCTTGGATACCTTTGTTTAGCATCCGAGTCCGTCGCTTGTTACTAAGAGCAGAGCTTGGCCCCCAGGAACTGCTGCTTGCAGAGGTTGAATCCAATGAAAGGGAGATGGCACTCTAGAAAAAACAAACATGTACAAGAAGAGAAATTCCTGAAATACTAACCAAAACGATCAGAAAGCGGGTTCTAAACAGCGCAAAAAGCTATAGCCATCACTCTTTACTTGTTGTACCTTCATTCTGTTGCTGTTTAGATGTTTATTACAGGCTGATTGGTGTCTTTTATTGCCGGCCAGCCTTGACTTTATCCTTGTGCACTTTCAGCATCCCTTTATAGTAAGAAAAGTGCATTATTTCTGTAAGGCAAGAGCTTGCCTGTGACCAGATTCTGTACGGTGCTGAGCATCCTCCAACTCATTTGTTCAAAGTTCATGGGACAACATGGCCTGTCAAGACAGACTTACAAAAAACCTTCGCCGTGGCAAGACCGTTTGTTGCTTGGATTTCCACGAGAGGCTACAAACTACTTTGGAAAGAAGGGAGAATAACCTGGAAACTGAAGCCTATATTCCTCCCCTCTCAAACCAAAAGCCTTTAAAGGTTGCTTTGTGATTTCACACTGTGCTCCAGTTCTGTACCGTTGCAATGAAAGAGCAAAGGCCTTTCAAAACAGGGGAAGCTGTCTCACCCTGTGAGCCCCATTACGCAAAGTTCACCAGGTGAAGAAAATTAAACTCAAGAAAGACAAGAAATAGAAGACACTTAGTAAGAGCATGGCTTAGGCAAAACACGAGTTTCACATCTTCATTCACACAAACAGAAGTGCCAGCTGCGGGGATGTAAGCAGCACAACTCCGTAATAATTAATAATAAATTAATTTCCATTTTATGACATGTTGTAACTTTAGAGCCATTTAGAAAGGCATATACTCTGTAAGTGTAATGTATCTAGTCCACAAGCTTTCTGGTTATATAAAATACAGAGAAGGTTAGTGCTTTACTAACAGCGATTAACTGACAGTGCTTCCCCAGGCTTCAAATCCAACAGTGGAGCACAGACCAAGCTCTGCAACTCCACTGAATTTAATTTTTAATTACAAAACAGATTTTGTTTTTTTTCCTTGATCATAGCAATTAGTATCCTATTAGTAAGTCATAACGCTAGCCATGATGGAAATGAACAGAGGCTTTTTTATTACCTTTTTATTGAATCTCTGCTATCACCACTTCAACGCTAAACATAATTTCATTTCAACATTAAAAGGAAGCAATTTCTATTCTCACGCATCCTGGCAAAAACTGGGGTTTTTTTTTTAGTTTTATAAAACCATTACAGCTCTAGCAGAGTGCACTAGACAGATGTTGTAGATATGTATCTTCTTTCAGAGAACAGAGGCAAATTTGAGTATGTGCTCAGTAAAAGGGAGTCTAAAGGAAGGAAAAAAAACCCAAGATAACCCATTTACATGCACATGCATATCAGCCCGCAGAAATAAATATCAGCGGCCATTCAATACGGAATATTGACATGCACATTCCTGTTTGGACTAGAATATTCAGTGCAGTGCTTTCAAAGCCCTTCAGCAGTTGAATAGCGCAACCTTTAGCTTTGTACCTGCTACCAGATGGCAGCTTGAAGAGTGCTTTAGAAATAACAGAAACTGGAATAGATAAAATCCTTCTGGGGTGGGTTCAGCAGCTATAAATAAAAAAAGCTGTAACCAAGTTTTCTGGAAGCAGAGCTGACAATAGGCTGTCAAAAAAAAAAAAAAAAAGAGCTACAAAATGCAGCACTTGCCTGAAAGATCCATACAGTAGTCTCTCTAGGAGTAGGGTTCCTGCTATAAATAAATATCTGTCTCTGAACCACAGATATTTGCAACTAAAAAAAAAATAAATCTTGATTTTTGCTCAGCCAAGCGTCACAGAAATTACCAAAATTTTGATTTTAAACTAAGTTCGCCGTTTTGCCATCAATTTTCCCTCACTCCTTATTTAAGGTGGGTCATGTGTCTGTCTATATGTATTTTTAAAAAAGAACACTACATCAGCAAATAAAAGATACTACTTTTTAAAGCCACGTGGCTTCAATGCAACATCAAGCACTGGGAACAGTGAGCCTTTATTCTCAGATAAGTACTACTGCAATCAGTTATTTCACAGGTGATTCTAACAGGCAAAAGGTTAGATGTTGGTTTCAAGGTCCAAATAGCCATGGAATAAAATCATCTCCCAAATACTACAAGCCTGCAAGAAATGTTGGATCCTAACATCACTGTTAGATGGTCAGTGTTCTGGTTAATGGTCCTCAAGTTGCAATGTTTATGACAACTTGATTTTACCTTTAAATAAATATTACAAAGAAAAATGTTAATAAAAGTATTTTTTTAAACCGTTCACAGTCTTGAAAAAGACTGTTTCTCCCCCAGACATGCATTCATTAGCTTACTTGACACATAGAATGAGTTTGAGTTGTTTCTATAAAAAAAACCCTAACTCGTTTCAATGAAATCTATTAGTAATGATGACAATATCACTTTCTTCTGGTAGTACAAAAAAAAACCCAAAGAAATATTTCTCAGTTGTTCCTGTACTTTTCAGCAGTAACATATATTACAGAACACCAAAACTGTCATTTCTTACTATAATCACCAAATCGACGCCAAGGCTCCCTTTTGGGAAATCGATTTTAATTTCTCCTCCAAAGGGCAACAGACATATTCAATTGAAATGATCAGAATGATTTCCTCCACTTTAAAACAGTTTTACTCCAGACTTTTCACCTAGAATCCTTAGGGTTGAGAACTGGTCTTTTATTACACCTAAACTGGCAAATACAAAAACTGAACAAGCTTACAACCAGCACTCATCAAGACGATGTATTTCCAATATTTAAGATAGAGAAACAGTAAGAAAATTCACATAATAATTCCCATCTTCATGAAATGGTATCTATCATTACCCAGAGATATTCAGGCAGCAATAGGAAGTCAAAATCTACAACCTCAACTTACCACCACTGTCTTTAGGATTGCTAACACAAAGAACCTCCAGGTAACTAAAAATCAGATACAGCAGGATCTGGCTTCCCAAGACAAAGGACGAGAAAAAAGAGAAATAAGAACAAAGGGAAAGAAAGCACAATTGAGGTTTTAAGATATTTTGATCTCATCCTTACTTCTGGAAAGGCAGAGGGACTTGTTTGATCAAAGACAGAAGCCTACCATATAAACAACACTCTCTGGAAAATTTTAAATAATTCTCTGAATAACAAACTCTGCTGTACAGCAGCTTAAGAGTTCCTGTAAAGATGAGTTAAAATTATCTTCCGGTCTAACTGACCACATACCTGGATCTCTTTCCTTTTCTTGTGTCTCTCAGAAGTGACCTTTGGATATTCTACACCCACTTCTTTGCCACTTCCTTTGTCCCGCTTTTCAGAGCGACTTTTCTGGTGGTTGATTGTACAATAAAGTTGGGAGAGTCTTGGTGACAGCCGCACTCTTTCGTGCCCAAAAGCCCTGATCAGCCTGGCAGTATCAATGGTGGAAACGGAACTGCTCATCTCAGTCTGAGTAGCAGTTTCTGTCTCTGTTTGGGTCACCGCATCTGATTCCGAGGTGGTGGAACTGATCGTGGTGCTATGATCTCTACTAAGCCTCGTTTCTGTGGAAGCATCACTAGGAGTTTCCAAGTACTGCTGGTGCTCCAAAATTTTATTCATGTGGCGGATAATTTTCTCACCTGACCTATTTTTCCCGAGCTCAACAAGGTTATTTTTATCATGGGTGATTTGTGGTCTTTCTTCAACATGCGTTGCATTAGGCTCTAAGGTGTTTTCAGACAAGCTCCTTTCTGGAAGTTTTATTTTAGTCTGCTCTCTTCCCTTTATTTTCTTCTCAGAAACATTATTTTCGGATCTTGTTGGTATTAATGTATGCTGAATGGGATTCTGAAGGACCCTGGCCAATCGATCGAGGCGTTCAACAAGGGACAGTTCACCCTTACTCTTAAAATCACGGTGCTGGTGTCTCTTCTGGCACTCCAAAAACTTAATCCAGAGCTCATCTAAGCTACCAGGGGAGTGGGCGCTCTGTCTCGGTGGTAGGTCTTTCTCCACATTCTCATTACGGCGAGTGGTTTGGCTACTTGGTGAAGGATAATTTCTAGCTGCCTTTTGTTCTGCTTCTCTTCCTCCACGTTGAGGTAGCTCCTTCCGTGGCATTTCATTCCCCAAAGATGTGCTAACATTTAGATACTCACTGTTGCTGTAATCTGCTTCCGCAGTGAGCGGACAGAATTCATTTCCACCACCTTTTTTATGACAAACAGAGAAAACACGCTGATGACGACGTGCTTTTTTCCAGTTCTGTAAGATGGCACTTGAGGAAGGTCTAGCATGTCCGATACCAGAACTGTCTTCTGACAGCTCGCTGTTAGACAAGAAGTAGCTCTCACAGATGGGCGTTGGATGCTGAAGGTAGAACCGTGCAGATTTGAAGACTGAATGAGTGGTTTTTACAGACTTCGAACGATCTGTGCATTCTAGAAAAAAGGAAAGCACTTTAACTTTTTGTTTCTTTACAGGGAAGCAAGTAGCAAACAGCAAATGATAAACAGGATGAGTTTCATCCTAACACTTTCCAGTCACTTCAAAGGATTAAAAGCAGGAATCACTGTACCCAATTCCAAAAATGCAACAAACTTAGAAACAAAGTTGCAGCATTATTAAAAGTACATAAATAATACTTTCTATCATTTGCAACACAGAATCCAAGAGAATATTATATCCAACTGAATCTGAAGGAGGAATCTAATTACACCACAGGTAATTACTCTGGCCAAGATTTGGACTCATCTTTATTTATATTTATGGAAACTCATGACGGGCAGCCACAACTCATTTTTCCTCTTTTCAGACCAACGTGCAGGGAGTACAAACGTCCCCTAAGATTATGCCTGAACGTTATCTCTTAACAAACTCAGAACAACCGATATAATTTCCTGTACAGCTCCTAGAATTGTCTCTGACAGCATACCCAGATCTAGCCCTGTTTGCTTTCGAGCTCAGATAACACACTTTAGTTCAAAGCAGCACTGAAATCCCCCCAGAATATGCTACTATCTGAAATCATAAAGAACTATATGCAGAAATCCAATTATAATCTCATTTGTAATAGACCTATATTAAGTACACATGCAGCACGTGCTAGCAGGAATATACTCCAAAATAATTTTAAAGCTGTTTGTAATATACCGTAAAAAGAAAAAAAAATAAAAATCAAAATTAACGAAGTAAAAATGTGTTGCCTGTTATGTTCTTTGTACAACAGACTGAATTATATAATGAACCATGAAGGCAGAAAGTAGGAATTACAGATGCTAGTGCCAGAAGGATTTTGCAAGCCTCTATGCTTATTGCAAGATATTCCATGTCATTTTAGCCAAGTATGTTGTTTAAGGATGCCTTATAGAGCACTAATAGCTTTAGTATAAACAAAAGAGTTAATACAAAAAAAAAAAAAAGAAAGAACAGTTCATTTACTAATGTGACTAAGTAGTGGGGAGCTGTCAGCAAATGCCTATCAAGCTCCATTAATGGCACTATCACACTCATACTAGATTTTTCTCCCAAGTTTGTTTTTTTTGTTTGTATTTCTGTTGTTTGGTTTGAAACACTCTTGTTTCTGCGACTGTGATCTACTGATGAAAACAGAACCAGAAACCAGGTCTTCTTTTTGTTCACTTGAGCAAGCTTTGCCACCGGTTCACCAAAGGGTGGCAAGTCCAAGCCTCTCCCTACCCAGCAGGAAAACACCTATTTACCTCACCAAGAATCACAAGCTAGGTTTTTATAAAACCTCAATTCTACATAGAAAGATGTGATGCAAAATAAGCTCAAGAAGGGTCACAATTGCGTGAACTCATGCTGTTAACACCGCCTCATAAACCTTATTTTTATTTAGTCACTTGTTTTCCTTATGTTTTATACATCTCTTCCCTTCCCAACGCAGAGACACTTCAGTGCAATGTCAAGATCATGAATAGCATAATCTGACCCAGTCTCACTAACTCTGAAGTTGGAGGAGTTTGTCTTTCCATACAAGGTCAATGTTTATGTACTCATGTAAGAGGATTCCTCCACATCCTCCTGACAAATGAGATCAGGCTTGGGAATACGATGAAGAATTTTCGCTATTTCTGTATTTTTAAAAAGTTACCAACAAAATGGAAGGAATGCAAACAGGCAAAAAATAAAAATAAGTTTATATAGAGAAACTTTTTTAAAAAAATACATAACTTGCATAATTTTAAGCTCTAGACAAGCTCTGTGGGTAGAAGTAATCTTTTATTAGACCATCTAAAAATACAGTTGAAAAGTCAGAGAAGATTTTAGACATGCAAGTCTCTTTAGAAAGCTTGCTTAAATTTCCAGCTGTACTGGCTGGTTTAACAAAAGATTAGTTCTACTTACAGTTTCTTTCTTGCCTGTGTCTTTAGACCACCCTAGCTACAGAAAAATACTATTAGGTAATTTTATATTAACACTTGCGTTCCCCTTTCATTATTATGCAGGCTATTCAGAAAGACAAGTATCCACTGATCTCTGCTCCAGCACGCTATTTTGTTTGTTATTGCAGATTCTTGTTCAGAGAGCTCACTTCTATATATGCACTCTTTCTGGAGTTCTACCACCATGACTGAGCATTCCTCTTCTGAGTTACCCACAGTGAATGAAGAAAAGCGTTTTTCTATCTTACTCCACTTGGTTCCATACCCTTGCCTTTCATAAATGCTCACAGAGAATTATTTCTTCCATTAGAAAAAAAATAGGTTAAGACAACATTGTCTTTATTGTTGCCCTAATTCAGCTATTTGTCCTATGTACAGTTACCAAAAAAATAAAATGAACATCAAATAATGCAGTTCAGTGTGTCTTATGCAAACATTTTAAATTACCTTCTGGAAATAAAAATTATCTTCTGGAAATACCAAAACCTCTCCATTCTAAAGAGAAGAATTAATTCAAAAGAATTTAAATCATCAGAAGGAATCCCTACCAATGCATCAGCACTGCCCTGTGGGGTGACCTTATCCCAGGCATACAGAGCTGCCTGCTTAAGGACAAAAATAATCACGTTGAGGTACTTCATAAAAATCTGTTTCGTTAAATGTCTTCATATAACAAGTTTATGAGATACTAAGAAAAATAAATGGGCTCCCAAACCCCCTATATATGTGACTACTTAGAAGAGAACAGGAACTCTCTAATTCAGAATCCATTACGCAGTTCACATGTTTTGGGTCCCATCCCTCATTAACAGCCACAATTCTATTACCCCCTTGCACTTTGCTCACTCTTTGTTTAATATAGCACATGTCCCAAAATACTGTACTGTGCAATAAACAGCTTCTCTGAGGAACTAATAGCTGCATTTAGGAGAGACAGCAAACACGCAGCAATTTTCTATTTGCTTCTGAACAGGAACAAGATGCAATTCTCAAACACAATAAAAATCCTCATCCCTACGCAGACTTGAGGAAGTATATCAGCCACTCAAAAATCACAGAATGAGGTTTTGTACAAAAGGAGTGGCCATCAGGACTAATTTTTGTCACTGTCATGAGATACAATGTCAAAATCATCAGTTAGCACAGCATCATTTCATTTTGTCAGCATTCTCAACAAATAAAGCCTTAACGTAAGCTACTGTCGCGGTAAACCCTGACCTTCATCCCTCAGGAGTACCACTCAGCAACGTTAATGGAGGGGAAGAACAAAGAGACATCAGTTAAATCAAATTAAAATTCACTTAAATACCAACATTACAGAGATACTTTCCACAACATTACGAGACAGCGGTGTATTTGTGGGCAGGAACACAACCCCAACCCAATATACAGAACCATCCCACCTGTTTTTATTTACCAAGGAATTTCTGTTGTTTTCTACACCTCCATCCTTTCTACACTTAAAGAAGACTTTGCACTTCAAAACTTAAGAGTGCCTTAAAAAAAAAAACAACACAAAACCCAAATAAAACCCCATCAAAACCTAAAAGATCTTACAAAACCTCTGATAAGCACTGGAGCCACTGGAATGCTAGGAAATACTAACGTTCAAGTGTTTGGGCAGTCAGGGAGAAGCAGAAAGATAAAGAAAAGTGAGTCAAATTCAGCATCTTCAGGAAGACTATCAGCAATATCATGAGACCAGAAATCTTTGAACCTGAAATGTAATTCTTTTGCTCTGCTTTGTTTCATGTGTATGAAATCACATGTAAAATTGAACACACTTGTAACTACCTGGGGAAGCTTCCAGTGGTATCATTTGCTCCTCAGCCCAGGCTAGCTTGGGCTTGGCCCTCTTCGTGTAGATTCCTTCTTTACACTTGATAGCTGTACTGTCTGGAGGATTATCATCCCTTAAACCAAGCACTTTTGCTGGAAACCTTGGAGGAAGAGCATCATTTGACTCTGCAGAGGAAAAAAAAAGCAATAACTTTGAGTAGAAAGAGGAAGCAGGAAAAATAGATACAGAGATTTCACAACAAAGACAACGTCTGAAAGCAAACCTATTATCCAAGTAGTGGTGCCCGTATATTCACCAAGCACCAATCACGATTCCTAGTGAGCAGCTCTAGTGAATAAAAGCAGCAGTAGGTGTTGCACCACATTGTTTTCCATGATCTTTGGTGACAAGGTTCTTCTCAGAGGCAGATAGAATTTATCTATTCTACTAATGAGCAGAGATGAAGACAAGAAATTGAGCGTTAGACAATTCTGCTAGGAAGCCAGACACAGGACTTGGAATGTCCAGACTCCCTCTTGCTCACATTAAAATTCCAGACATTTCACTGACTGATGTAGATATCTATTTTCCGAGCTCAGAATAGCAATGGAGAAAAACTGGAAGACTAGAGTAGGTCTGTATAACCTCTACAGAAGAATTCAAGTCAACAGCAGAGCTCTCCTACTATCATATCGCTGCCTCCTAATGTTAGAAACCTGAAATGGCCCCTAACTGATTTATCATCCTTGTCAACACCACCTGGTTACATTCAGCGGACTCGCTCAGCTCCGTTTCCTTTAGCTACTGCTCATGAGCTAAGAATCCCAGCTGCAGCAGGGAGTTTAGAAAACAAAATTTAGTTTTCAATTCTGCTACATATTTTCTAGAACCTTGCACTGCCTCATATGCATACTGAATTTTTATATCTAGCATCATAAGTTTCTGCAAAACAACAGACTCGTATCACATTTGTTTCTCTCATTTTGACCATATCACAACAGACAGACTGGAAAAAGATAATGAGCAGAGACGCAGAAACAATTACAAGAACAATTTGTGACTATAATGATTAACCTGTGCATTTATTGCTGCTGTTGTGGCAACCTACTCCCCTGGGGCACATCTGTCAGAAACTGGACACCTCTGTAATAGTAGTTTTGTCTACAAATAACTGGATGTCAGAAAGATCTGACTGAAAACAACCTGCAAATAAGACCTATAATGCTTAAGTGATGTGTTCGTTATGTATAGAAGAGAACGGAAAAATAACAGCAGGCAAAGCAAAAGAAGTTGATGAATCACAGAGCACCCTTTCCCCTAGTAAATGGGAAGTGTTTTTTACTGGGAGATGAGAGGATGTGGGGAAGAGGCGAATATGTATTTTAAACCACAGTTATGAATTACATTGTTTATAGAAAGGCTTTCTACACTGGAATCCCCTAACATGGAAAGAAATTCAGCACTGAGAAAGGTATTATCTGAAATGCATGCTGGGTTAGGCGGATATTTCAGAATGCACGCATAACAAATTAATAAAAAAAGGGGGAGAAGGTACATAAATAAGGGAACTAAAAAGGAGGAGAACTGGCAGAAATATGAAAGAGACCAAACTGAGTAGTAATTCCCACAGGAAAGTAAAGAACTATCAAGCTGTAAAACATTGAGCCTTGTTTCTTTTTACTGCCAGAACGGAGCACTAACATCCCTTTCATCAAAGAAATTGAAACCATAGCCTTCAGTCAGGACTTAACACATCTCTGTGTTGTAAAGTGGTGTGAACATGAACAAAGACATATTTTTATTAAAATCAATGCACTTACTCTAAACCGGTAGGACAAGCTCAACTGAGACAATTCTGCATATGAAATTATATTTTGATATATTTTGATCCAAACGCAAAGTGATACTTGTAGTTCATGGAAGAACTGAGATAAGTAAGTACCTGAGTGAGAGCTCTCAACATTGGTTTCTGACCCATCTCGAGAAATTATGGATCTTGTCTTTAGATAAGGAACATAATACATCCCAGTACTTCCAGAAGGTTTATAGGGCAGCAGTAAGGGCTGATCTGTGGGGAAGGAAGGCAAAGCAATTAGCAGAAGTCAGGCTTTAATCCTTTAAGGCAACCGAAGATAAAAGCAACAAATCAGGACCCAAGGAGAGTGCTGAAGATGTTCACTGCAGTAAATCCAGAGAAATATCCTATTCATTAGGAAAATAAATTGCAATAATTATTTATTTAATTTATTATTTAATGTCCGCCCAATGCTCGGAAGGTTGACTGTTGCTTAGCTAGAAGAAACAGCTTACTTACCTATTCAATATTAAATTTCTGACTAGGGTGACAAACACTGACTTAAAAAAAAACTAAAACAAACAATTCACATAGTCCACACAGCTCCCACTTGATCCATGCTTAACGAAATAATTTTAAATGAGCATGGATATCTGTCTCTCAAGTCAATAAAAACAAGTGTGCTGTCATAACATAATTCCAGTAAACGTCTGGACCAGAACATTAGCTGACTTCTAATAACAAAGATGATCAGATAGCTGAAATATTTTTTGCACTCTGATATACTGCAAGAATCTGCTCTCTCAACTCGTACTATTTTAAACACCTTGCGAATAGAGATATAAAGCCTGGAGCCCAGGAAAAAAAAAAAAAAAAAAAAAAACATTAGTATAAAACACCACTGTGGGAAAACACTGTGCAACATCCACATTCTTCTGCCAACAGATTTTTAAAAGCCCTGCACATTTTTCTATTTTAATTCTGCTGAAAATAGCACATGCATATTTTCCTTAGATTTTGTACTACCTTGGCTAGAGTAAATCAGTAATCAGATATATCACTTGATAAACTCTAAGCAGCAAACCAATTCAAATTATCTAGAAACAGGTGTCGGAAAATTTTCTTGAACCAGACTTGAACACAACAAATTCAGTTCCTGAATCACAACTGTACTGATAAAATTCCCTACCCGCAGGACTGCAAAGGCCAAGTTTAAGGGTTGGGTTTTTTTCCCATACGAGCAACTTTAAATATCAACATTATCTCAAAAATGTTACTTCCGCAAAAACGCTGGGTTTGCTTTTGGTTTTTAATACCTATAAATATCTCAAACTTGAACAGATGAAAGTCTGCACATACATATAAGATGCTAATTTGCTCACCACCCTGCCTTGGGAAAGGGGAAATCTTGTTAAGAGATAAAGTTGCGTTGTTGGGAAGTTCATGTGCTTTCTGGAGAGATGACTGGTGGACGGCATTTCCGTCGTTGTGTGAATTAACATAAATTTCTGCTGAGAAGGTTGTTTTTTCAGGACTTTCTGTTGTTATCTGAGTGGCAGCATCAGAAGTACTTTTCCCAGTTTTTGCAGGAACTACAGAGTTGAAGATATTCTTCAGATTACACCCTCCTGAACCCTGACCCTGTGGTCTCTCAGTGGTTTGCAGAGACTGCTCCTGCCCTGCTGTGCTTGTAACAGAGGAAAGCACCAGGCAGGGATCTGCTGAAGACACTGGCATTGGGAAAGATAAAGATCTTTGATCTTCTGGAATAAGGTCAGCAGCTGGTAATTTAGAAACAGCTTCTACTAAAGTTTCTGGAGTTTTTAAAGACACTGGTTGAGCATTAACTTCGGGTTTATCTCCCGATCTCATTTCATTTTCAGTATTCACGTCACTGTGCAGCTCTGAGTTGTTAGACTTTGAGGAGAGGGTTATGTGGACACAAGACAGTACTTTCTTCGTTGGTGATGAACGAGATACAGACGTGGCGGATAAAATCTCATCTGTAGACGAATGATGAGATGTACCGATTTGCTCTCTCGCAGCCTCTTTCTGAACGAGAGGTACTTCATCAGAAGGACTTTTCTCCTCTTCTGCCAACAGCTTAATGTGGTCCTTCAGCAAATCAGTTTGGCTGGCTGGACCTGAACCTTCTAAGCTTCCATACAATTGGCTGTGACCAGCTGGGCTTCTTTTCTCCTGCTGGTCAGAGCTTATAGAATGGGGTTCATTAAATCTATTAATTTCTTGAATGCATCTTGTATCACAGTCAAGCCCCACCAGTCTGGCACTATGCCCGCCCAATTCAGTTTCATCTTGAGGCAGAACATCAGAATTTTTTGCACTAAGGGTCTGTCTTTTATCAGCATGGATGCTTACAGAATCCTGCTCTGACGAACAGTCTGTTTCTTGATAAGCTCCAACTCTGTTACTGTCAGCAAAGACAGGATGAAACCTGTCTTTCTCAGAAGAAAAACCAATCTCTTTAGACACTGAGCCAGCAAGCATTGGACTTGAAGGAGGACAGGTCTTAGATCCTCCCCAGTGTTGTTTGCCATGGCTCTGTTCCTCAGGGCTAGCAGAGTCAACCTCCAAAGGCATTATCCCATCAAGGCCATCTCTAGCAAGACTACAGCCGAGTGCCATGGAAGTCAAACGTCTCCGAGACGAAAAGGTGATAGAAGTAATTTGCTTTGCCATATCTTCCGAACACTCTTCCAGAGACAGCTTCTTCTGAGCTAGTAAATGGACATCTGTTTGAACATCTGAAGCAGCTGCAGACATGATGGCGCATGAATTCCACTCCTGCAATGAGGGGTGAAGTTCAACAACAGGATCAGAATGACTAGTTGTAACTGTTCGATGCATCGGTGTCTGAACGGTGCTTGAAGTTTTAAACTGCGTATCCTCCAGCAGGCAACAATCAGAAGAATCAGCTCGATGTAATGGCACGGCTTGTCGTAAGCTTGACTCTACAGTCTCCTCAGTCCTGATGGCTTTTGTCAAAGTTTTGTCAAATCTTTTGTCACTTGGAGCTTGGAAATACTCCGTGTCCTGTTCCTGATTATGGCTATACTCAGAAGCAGCTTCCAAAACACATACTCGTGGATCCTGAAAAATAGAGAAGAATTCACATAGGTTATGTGGACGACTTCCTGCCCTCGACAAAATGTGGATTGCAGAATTCAAAGACAGACTAGTGCTGTCAATAATCAAGAGTCTGTCATCAGGAATGAGCATATGCTCTCTCTGAACTCATCTGTTAATGGAACTAATTAAAAATTTGTCATATTTTAAGTGCCAGCAAATTAGTTGACATGGTTTTGATGCTATAACCAACAGCAGCAGTGACATCTGTAATAGAACCATTTAGTTTTGTGAACTATCAAGTTGTAACTCTGTTACTTAGACTAAGTCGTAAATACCTCTCAACATCGCTCCACGCACTGGAAAACAAGAGAAAAACCTCAAAACTTTCTTCGTTTCTATCAGTTGGCTTCACAGAGTGTTGGACATTTATCGTAAACCCAATTCATAATATACTGAGAAAAATTACATTTTTTTCAATGAATATTTATTCACCATCTAAGTTCAAAGGGATTCAGGAAGAGACAAAGACACCCTGCTAAAGCTTTGTAATTTCACTGATAATCTTATTAATTAAAAAGATAGCCAATTAGCTACTCAAAAAAAAAATCACAGAAACACTTTGGTTGGAAGAGACCTTTGGAAGTCTCTAGTCTGAGCTCTAGTCTAGCTCAAAGTAGGACTAGCTTCAACATCAGAACAGGTTGCTCAGGGCCTTGTCCCATCAAACATCTCCAAGGATGGTGATTGTGTATACAACTTAACTACTTGTGATCTGTAAATGACTGATGAAAGGTGTCCCTTCGTAGCTCCATGGAAGAACAAAACAACACAGAAACCCACGTTTACTTCCAGTTATATGTGGTCAAACCTTAATGAAGTATGCAACGTTAACGTTTTCTTGGAGGTTGCCAAATCGGGGAGCAGACACACACTAAACCTCTTCTGGTTTGTGCCAGAATCCAAACAAACTCCACACTATCAAAGCACTACATTATGTGACATTTTAGAGTTACAGGGATAATTCTGCATCTGACATTTTGCTATGCCATAACTATCACTATATGAAACAGAACTTGATATAAAAGGGTTTCCCTTGCACTTGAGTTGTTTGACTCTAGCATTTATGAAGCAGAACTAAAATGAAAGGAACTCGGTTACACAGAAACAAGTGGGAAGAAAGCTGTCCTTTACAAAGCATAAGAAAATATTTAATTAGAAAAGCTTTAATTTTCCATAATTGCTCTTCCTTTTTCCCCTAAAACAAATCTGCCAATTTCCCTCTCAGACAAGAGCTATAATAAATCTTTTTATCTTTACGGTCACCACCCACTGATGACAATAATTAAAAATGACTGAAAATAATCAGAGCTTTGATTTGCTCTTCAAGGTAAATGATAACTTGTAAAAACTTTCCAATTCTCAGGTGCAGATCATTTTCATTCTCCCATCAAAACAGGTATGTTTGCCCCAAATACTGTTTTTTTGATGGGAAAGCTGATGACAATACTGCAAAAAAGAGAAGGTATTTCTCACAACAGATAAAACCCTAATCCCACCAAAACCAAGGAAGTTCACTGTCATTTTTAAAAGTATGAGCAAAGACAAGTGACATTTCCATCTCTGACCATGCAAATTGTCCCACATCTGTACCACTCCCCAATATCAGAGCCACTATATTTAGGGCTCTGCTACATGTATTCAGGCATCTCTGGCCCATATTATACACAACAGTATAAAATAAAATGTCTTAGATTACCTGCCTGTGGTCATTTAGGAAACTGAAACTAATGATTTCTTCAGTACTAACTTCTATCCCGGTTTCTTCGCCCAATTTTACTAACCATTCTAATTTTCAGCGTGCTCCCCAGTCCCCATTGCTTCATCTTCTCCTTCACCCCATTCCACCATCAAAAAACAACCTCCCAACAGCAACAATCAACAGCAATTTATCATACCAGGTAAATAAAAATTAAAGCAACATATGCTATAGCCCCTCAGCAGAATCAGGCAGAAAAAAATCCACACCCTACACTCTGAGCATCCTCATCAGATGGCGTTACCTTTCAGCTGCCTCTTAATGAGGCAAATTACTGACACTGCAGCTAACTGGAAAATTCCCAGGGCTACAGCGCTAAGGAACCTACACCTTCTCCTGGCATCTCAAAACAGAACCCGATTTTTCTCAACACACCTTTTGCAGACGAGGCACTAAATATACCATACAGAGATAAAAATACGGACGGATCGGCAAATGGCTCTAGTCACCTGCCAAGCAACGTAGAAATAAATGTGTCTAAACACTCGAGGAAATTTAGATATTCCAGACTTTTCTTTCAGCTCATTAGAAACAGCAGATACTAACAAGGCACGTTCATTGCCTGCGGAGATTTACCGAGATCAGCAAGAGAGATAAACAAAACATGATCTTCTCTCTCACCACCCTCCTTCCCTATTCCGTGCAGCGATCACGAGGCAGGGATGGACGGGACCTTTGCCTCCAAGACTTCTCTCATTACAGCAGAAACTCCCAAATGCTGATAGCTGATCTTTGCAGTAACTTACCCGACTGGTGTAAGGAGAAGGTAGTTTGGAAGAAAAGAAACGCAAATACCTCTAGATCAAAGATCACACTACTAACAAGTGAATAAAACATCACACTGCCAGATGCGTGCATACTCTAAGAGCAGAAAGAGAAAGCCTTGGAAGTCCAACAGGGAAAACCTTATGGTACCACTCACAGTAATTTATTACTGTCAGCATTGATCAAAAAACCACAACAGCTTTTGCCCTGAAGCAAATTAAGGCAACTACTCACCTGATCTGTTAACAATGCAGCTCCAAGGAGGGGCAACAACAGAACTACTCAAACACTAACCTTTGGAAGTAGCTGTACCGATTCTAGAGACATTACACACCGAGATTCCCCTCACTTAGACACTCACTAAAACAGGTATCATAGAGTCAGTCCCATTCCTGACACAAAATCCCACACCACACCTTCACACAACATGCTAGAAAGCAGCTCCCTCTTACATTATTTCACCCCGATTCTTTTGGATGGGTCAGTTTAGCGTCAGAGGCAGTATCACGGTTAGTGAACACTGGCAATGGACAAGACAAAAGTCAAATAATTTCATCAAACCTTACACCCAAATCATCTGAGCTAATCTATCAACAATAGGCCACCAGCCTTCTTTAGAAAAAATTTCTTAAGAGTCATCATCATTTTATTAATTTATCAGAATCTGCACTTCCTTAAATTTAAGTGTCATTAAAAATTACAATGCTCCCATTGAGGTGCAGAGAGCAAATCTGAGATAAATATTCTGCCATGGAGATGGGCCAGATAAGCTTACTCAAATAAAAAGAAAAATCGAGGCTATATTTATTTTTTCCTACTGATTGGAACAACTGTGGAAACAGCAGAGTATATTTCATTAATAAAATGCAACACAGGTCCCTGGATGATTACACCCTAGTCAGAATTTGGAAATCAGTCAGAAAACATTCTTGGTGTCAGTTTATACAAAGCATAAACAAGTATTCCACAACAGATTTTCCTTCCTTTCTACATCCCAGATGTCATTAGCAGTAAACTATTTTAGAAAGCCCTGGATTATTATTCTAAAACTGTACTTTTCAGTGGCCTTATCTATTCTAAGGCAACTAAAGTAGTTTATCTGGCTTCCTGTATTTCCTATAGCCAACAGGGACAACAAGGGACTGTAGAAGAATGCAAAGGACACAGAGTAGCCCTGTGCCAGAGTAGAGGTGAGAGATCTCCTTCCTTAAACCACATCCCAGTTCAACGGCCTGAAGTAATACACAGCAACTCCTACTACTGAAAGCAAGCACAGAAGTTGCTATAAACTCATCTTCCCAAGCCTTTCACATGTTTTATTGTGCTTGTTATGTGTCATCTTTCCAAAAAAGATCTGTATGGCATATGATCCACAAGAGATTGCAGTGCAAATTTATAGCTACAACTCAGTGAACTTCCTGAAAAAGTGAGAAAGTACAAGGAGTGGAAAAATACAGCATATAGTGGAAGAATACTGTATACAAAGGGGGAACGCTCTTAGGCAAGTCAAGAGGGAGCTATTTGGCACCCATAAAAATACAGGTGGGGTAATAAGGTCCTCAATTCAGCAGGAAAATTCTTAGGTTTAATACGCAGAAACTGTATTTACATCTAACAGCAACTCAAACCCCCTCAATCTCAACTGGGGGAACAAATCAAATGCACATGCACAAGAAGGTTAAATTTGAAAGACAATGCTCCTGGAATAGAAGACGACCTACAAGTCTTTGGCTTTTCCCTGTTATTCTTGAAAATCTATCTGGAAAGACTCCAATGATTTCAGTGGAAGAACAGTTAACAGGGCTGATCTCTGGAAACTATGACTGACCTTTCATATGCTTTTCCTGAAAATCCCAACAGACTTCATGTTGCTTATAGCTCTTTGTGACTGAAGAGCATCACCCATCCTAGAGTTAAACTCCTCAAGCCTATCAAAAGAGTAAGTACCCTACTGCCAATTTACCTCCTCCAGCAAAAAAACAGATCTCTGCAGCCACACCAGCATGGCCACAGATGTAGGAATTATTCATCAAGCAGTAATGTATCTATAGGAATGTCTTGGCAACTCTTTGCCTCTCTTCGTCACAAACAGGTTTATAGGAGAGTGCCATCAATTTATCATAAGTTTCACAAGACCCATCTCTGGACAATCTGAGATTTGACTTTTCTTTTGCCCATTTCCAAAATATTTGCAGTTAACAAATCCACAGCCTTCGTCTCCTTTTTGTCCTAAGCAAGGTCAAGGCATGGTGCTTTCTCTTGCCATGACTGGCCAATTAAGACCTTTAGGAAGAGTCAGTATGAAACGGAATCGGTATGAAATTTAGAAAGAAACCCTCTATGTCAAGACTTCCATGTTTGCCATTTATTCCTAAGCATTTCTGTCAAACTTTATAGTGTTTATTAGAAAAGCATAACAGCGTATTTCTCTCCTTGTGTAAGGGAAGAGCAATAAATCAACAGAAAGACTCCGCAGATGAAGTGTACAGAGAACAGATTCGCTACTCAAGGTTTGTCCACCTTACTAAAGGGAAAGCAAGGAAGATACAACTCTGAGTTACACTCATCAGCATTATTTGCTATTAGAGATACATCTTCCAAATTAAATTTTCACGCTGAACGTTCTCAGTTTTGGGCCACTATTTAGCTGAGCGCTTGAGTACAAGTTTGGAGCCCATTTACGCGCATATGTCCCAATCACCTCCTTAAACACTCTGCTCAGCTAAAACTTGAGAAATCATTATGATGCTTCTTTTTTAGCGCGTCTGTTAACACATCACCAGTGACAAACAGCTATCACACAGATACTTGACTATCTCAAAAGACAGAACAATCTTTAGAATTAAAAGATCACTGAGAAGAACTCTCCCAAGCTGTCCTGCTCCTTTGTTGCATTTTCTTTTTTTTCTTTTTTTATAGACAAGCTTCACATGCTTCCTGTTGGAAACAATAAAATATCACAGTGGTACATTATATTTCTTGAGTTGTCACCTATAAAAACAAGAGGCAGAGTCTAAACTTTCCAGAAAGAACACTCATCATAAGCCTGCAGCAGAAGCACTAAATAAAGATGATGGTCTGACGAAAGAATTGTTTGCCTGAGTGCTAGGAACAGTTTGTCTTTCTCAGTCTTTAAAGCTTAGTAGAAGGAAAATATCTTTTCATAATCTTTGCTCTGTTCTAAGTCAGCACATGGCCAGCTCTATAAATTCAACAGGTATTTTACAGAACAGTTTCTATTAAATTTATAGTACATTATTTTGTCAGCAACAAAACTGGCTGCATTTTTTTCAGTTACACAGTTTTCAACAATCTGTATTTTTCAGTGACACATTGTTTTGCTTGGAGTGAAAAATACATTTATATCTTACCAGCCACCTTCATTCTGCAAACTCAAAGCCATTTTTTGTCTGAAACTAAAGCCATCAGAGTAAAATATTATCAAGATCAAAGCAAAAAATGCTGCGGTTGACCTACAGCAATTTCTTAAGAGTCATGGTTTGCAAAATTAATTTTTTCTTATTCTAAATTGGGATAAAACAATTCATAGCTGACACCGAATCACATAAAGGTAGAATACTTGGCTCCAGTCTGTAACAAGTCAGTGTTAGGGACAAAGCTGTGATCTACAAAAAAATGTAAAAGTTGGGGAAAAAAAAAGCTTCAGGGCCTCTAGTTTTTCATTGAGTAGACTGAAGAAAAAATTTGTGTTTTCTTTCTCTTTAAGAATTTTCTGCATTTCTAAAAATTAATAAAATTAATTTTTTTTTTTCAGAGTCCCCACTCAAAGATTACATCAATACCTGAATAACTAAAAAGTTAGTCTGATGGTTTTTTGAAGCTAATGTCTGTATTACCAACACTGTTCATGCCTAAGAATCTATAACACAAACACAGACTACAAACAAATAAAACCCTACTGCTTCTCCTGGGAGGCAGGCAGTCCACACAGACAAAAAAAAAAAAAAAAAAAAAAAAAAAAGGAAGATATTGCTAAAGCTAAGAGACACCTGATTAAAGACAGATTGTATTTTCAAATGCAAGTTTTCTACATTCTCCTCAGAAACTGCCCCAACCTTTAGCTCTGCTTAATTATCCAGTCTCTATTCCATCAACTCATCCATCCACTACTCATGGTATATAAGCATCTCCACATTTTTCCAGCCTGTTCTTTTAATCAAAATACTCTATGAATTGTGCCCTATCTTGGGACACACAGACAGCCCCTAGAATTCATGACACGATTAGAATGGACATCAGATGAATGCTGAAAATGGATATTTAAAGTCAAATTGAAGGTAATATACTCCTACTTAGACTAATTCCAATCCAGATATATTATAAAATAAATTAACTAGAAGTGTTCCAAAAGAGATATGCAACACATGACAACAATTCACTGTCAAGTTTTCACAGAAAAATAGAGCTGTAAGAGTCTGAAAGCTCATCTAGTCCATATCCCTGCCCCAAATCAGCATTAACTACACTTATTCTTTATAGATACTTACCCAAGCTCTTCTTAAAAACATATTATGACTAACACTCTATAATCTTCCTCTCATCATCCTTACCATTAAGGAGTTTCTTTCCTAAGATGACTCTTCTTCGAACTCAAAGCTTATTATCTTTGATACAGACAACACAAAGGAGGAACAATTTACTCCCTCCTTCCCTGAAACACCCTTGAAAAAAATAAATATCACACTCCTTTGTAAACGTTTCAGAACATATTGGAAGTAACACAACAAATACTGCTATTATCTAGATGATATTGCCTTGTAAATTCCACAGAAGGCGTTTATAAGGCACAATCAGCACATGCATAAATACTTTGTGAAAAGCAGAACTCATTAAGCCAATTAAGAATCATGAGCAGTGTGCAATTTCTCTCCATAGTAACACCAGTTCTCCCATCACATCATCACTAACCACATCTCTGTCCTTCATACCTTCCGTCAGAATATCTTCAGTTGTGTGCCACCCCCTGCACCCCAAACCACTCCCCCCTCGCCCAAGAGACCTAATTACTGCCTGAGGAGAAAAAAAAAAACAAAAAACAAAAAACAGCAACCCAAACACAAAACCACAAAACCACGACAGCCTGTGCCATGGCTGGTCCTAAAACATGTGTAAGAATTGAGTAAGCTGAAACAAGCAGCTCTCGTTAATTTGCATCCCCCTCTCCCTGTCTAGCTACCAATCTTCAAAATTATTGCAGGAATATAATTAATCATTTTAAGATCACAAGCAAGACAGTAGCATTTTATCTCCCACTTCAAAAATTTTCTTCACAGCAGGTGGTTTATCTGTTTGGTACCTTGGCTAGTGCAGATTTCTTGGCACTCAGAAGCAGCTCTGCCTTTATTTCTTCTAGTCTTTGTTGGTCCTCTTCACTCGAGTCTGACACAGATCCCTGAGATTGGCTGGCCAGTTTGAGCTTCACCCATGCTACACAAAGGACATAAACCAGAAAGTAGTTCCCTTTCCATTTTTTCACATCACGTATGATAACAGTTTTATAACTTATAATCAAAACTTTACTATGCATTTCTAGCTTCTGTGACCGAGGGAACAAAGACCACTATCAAATACCAGAGCTGACATACATTTAAAAATGGCCAGTTCAATAAATTCAACAGGTATTTTACAGAACAGTTTCTATTAAATTTATAGTATATTGTTTTGTCAACAACAAAACTGGCTGCATTCTTTTCAGTTACATAGTTTTCAACAATCTGTATTCTTCAGTGACATACACTGTTTTGCTTGGAGCGAAAAATACATTTATATCTTACCAGCCACCTTCATCCTTTGGAACATTCCTCTGGAAAGATGAATCCAAGACCCACTGCCCGGTTCTGTCAGCTTTACAGTCTCAGACTCAAGTCAATACTCTCTCTCACAGTCCCTAATCCCTAGCACATGCTTAATAGCTATGTGGACAAAACACTTCCTCGTGCCAATGTTAGGCAGAAGGTGGTATTCAAACTGAAATCATTCTATCATACTACATAAGATGACTAAAAAATTTTGACATTTAAGCCCTGTCCTGTTAAAGCTTATCGTTAATACATTAATATAAACCCCTTTAAAATCAGGGGAGTGGACTCAGATGACCTCAGAGGTCCTCATACATCCATACCCCTTCATTTCAAAGTAATCCCTTAAACATACACCTAAAGATTTGCCATCCTAACACATCACTTGACAAAACCCAACTGAGATGCTTCATTACCTCGCGCTTTCCTCTCCTCTTCCTCTGCGCTCTTCAGCATTTGTGTTGTGTGTGCAACAGGTGATCCATTTCTCAGGAGGTTTTTGACATGGGCAGCTAGTGAATCCCCACTGCTACTGTCATCGCTCTCTCGCATCCCTCCTGCCTTGCTTCTGCCTGCAGTGCCCTTAGACAACACGCTCTGGAAGCCTCCTGAAACATCTGTGGCACTGCCTAAAGCCTCTGAGGAAGGAGGATTCCTCAGGAGGTTTTTGACACGGGCAGCTAGTGAATCCCCACTGCTACTATCATCGCTCTCTCGCATCCCTCCTACTTTGCTTCTGGCTGCAGTGCCCTTAGACAACGTGCTCTGGAAGTCTCCTGCAACATCAACATTTCCTAGAGGCTCTGAGGAAGGATTCCCCAGAAGGGTTCTGACACAGGCAGCTATTGAATCCCCACTGCTACTATCCTCACTCCCTCGCATGCCTCCTGCTTTGCTTCTGGCTACACTTGCTCTAGACATGCTCTGGAAGCCTCCTGTGACATCGGTCACCCTGCCTAGAGGCTCTGAGGAAGAAGGATTCTCCAACTCTGAGGTTCTTCCAGTGCTGACTTCACTACTTCCATCACTTTGTTCAAGACCCACAAAACCAGGTTGATTTCTGTCTGTGGTTACACTACTACAGCCTTCTGGCTCAGACCTTCCTACAGATTTACCTGTCCTAAACTCTTTGGTCATTTCCTTCATCATCTCTTCACTATTGTGCAAATTAATATCAAAAGAATTTTCCCATCTTAAATTGCATGTGTTATAATTCAGAGGCTTTATTACCAACCCCTCCTCTTGCATACTTCTTCTGGTCGTAGTCTCATCCCATGACGGTGTCTTCTGAAACTGAGGGACTCTGTCTTTCACTAACCTGGAATCTTTGGTGCCATCCTCCTTACTAATCAGCGCTGGGGAAGACTCACCAGTTTCACTAGAAGAGGCAGTGGAAAGGACACACCACCTGCCAGATATATCGTCTGCCTCTGCCAAAAGCTTACGTATTTCTTGCAAAGCACCAGATCCAATCGAAGAACCACTTTCTTGACCCTTATTCCTCTTACTACCTACACTTGAAGTCTGTGATCTTCTGTCAACTTCCACCTCGTTTGTAACTCCAGCCAAAGATCTGGCAGTCCATCTCTGCGGGCTGCTATTCACATCTTTTGACTCATTTTTAGCTAGCAGATCCTGAAGGCTTTTTGCAACAGGCATGGGACTCTCTCTGTCGGAACGGCAGTCAGGTGAAACAGTCTGCGGCTGCTGGTTTGGTTCAGCTCCTTTGGAGACAGCTGAACACTCTGCCGCCTGTTGCGGGGAAAGCAGAGCAGTGATCTCCAGTTGGTGGCATGACATACTGCACTGACTCACTGGTTTGTCTCCAAAAGATCTTGAGAAGCGGGGAGAGAGTTCACGGGGTGACAGAATATCAGAGCCAACTTCTGAATTCATTGGTATAGACATACTGAGAGTAGAAGTGCCGGAGTTAAAACTTGTTTGCATAATTTCAACTGCTGACAGCAATTTATCTACAAAGAAACAGAAGATTCATTAAGTTTGGGGCTCCAGAAAACAGCTGCATCAATAAAGACTACTTTTTCTTGTACTACGGGGCTTGTAAAGGAAGGGAAGAATTAAAATATCAGAAAACATTTAGGAAACTGTTTTCAGAATGAGACTGAGATTTGCATCAGAATTGTCTACTGAAAGAAATCTCTTAGACCATTTTGGATAAATAGAGAATATCAAAGAAACTACAGATCTTGACTTAAATAACTTGCTTTTAAATAAATGCTTAAACTAGAAATAAATGTTCTTTGATAAAGGACATAGTGGTGCTTGAATGTCCAAAGGAACACTTGGATTATAAAAGTATCCCTGCAAGAAACAGAAGGGTTGTGGGATATTTCCAAAATATCCTTTTGGAATAAGGCAAAGGACACACTATGGATACACTCGTTTCTCACCACAGCTTAGAAAAGTCCAAAAGCAGATGAGATGCACTTATAGCATTCGGATAAATAACACCTAATTGTTTCTTAAAAAAAAAAAAAGCAGCCAAACTTAAGTACAAATGCTGTTCCTAAATCCATGCTGGCAGGTACACACAACAGTGAAAAGCCAGCTCCCAGGTAGGCCTGCCAACAGCAGTTTTATTTGTTTCAAACACAGTTTTGTTTCATGGGCCAACTCTGATATATTTTCAAGTACATTAAGTAGTCAGGAGCTCAGCTGAATAATCTCTCTATCGAGGACAGCTCTGCCCCTGTATTGATTGCCAAGTTGTTTCAGTTGCCAAGGCTCCCACCTTGCTTAAAGAAGGAAAAAATAATAAAAGAAAATAAGCAAACCCAAAAGGTGTAAGAAGAGATGCATTTAATCACTTCTGGTCAGAAAAACAGGTCAGTGCAGGATCCCTGAAGCCACAGATATTCAAAGGGTTAGACAGGTACTTGTTGGGAAGAGACTTCAGATCTGCTCTTCCCCACTGGGTACAAGATTCAAATGCCAAAACAGAATATGCTCAGGAAAATACATATTTTAGATAGTTGCAATGCACATTTTCACATTTTAATGACATTCCGCATGGGCATGCCACCAAAGAACATCATAACCCTAACTGAGCACACTTGGTTCTTCATATAGAAATGACTCAATGATTGTTAAGGTCATATTGATTTTTCTTTTTTAATGTTTTGAGATGGATGGATTTATGAACTGATCTGCTCATAGTTATAAAATGTGTCTGACTTTTTGTCACAGTGAACACACCAAAAAGTCTCAAAGAGAAACTGAGACGTTATTTCTCTCACAGAAAGAAAGTCTGGTAACATTTCTTTAATCTTCAGACACAACACATTGCCTTCTTCAGAACTCTTGTAAAAAGAAAAATAAAGATAAAAAGAAGATAAAATGCCATTGCACTGGCTAGAACACGCCACATAGCCATGACCCCTCAGAGAGAAGGCTTTTAAGGCTCACTTTTCCAATGCCAAACATTTCACATTTGAGATGGAAGAAGATCAACTCACAGGAACGAAACAGAGCATCGCACGAGCAGAAACACACTTGACACCACCAGGCCAAGAACAACCTCACAGGTGAGTCTGAAGTTCTGAGCTCTCTAAACACAAGGTTTTCCTTGCCCATACCCTGTGGCTTCGGAGCGGCCCTCGTCAGCGTGTCAGTGGAGTCCTTCAGCGTTCTAAGCTCTGAAGGGGAAAATTCAACTTCCCTGATGGGTCCTCGGGGTACAAACGGCATCAGTATAGTTCCAGGTGACTGATCAATGCCAAGGTTGCGAAGATAAAGCTGCCAAGAGAAGAAATAAGTAAGACATATGGCACTCTCACAGAATGTCAATGGATTCTGAAGTCGCATTCATTTTCCATGTCATCTTAAATGCAAACAACTTGCTTTAAAACATCTTAAGCCTCCATCGTGTTCAACTCGCACTAACAGTTCGCCCAAAATACTAAAGCAGTCACATATGAGACATCATCTCCAGCTTATTCTAGTCTTTGGACAAGCCTCTTTTCTAGCTAGTATGACTAGGCCTACATAATGGGCACCTCACGGGCAGCCCAGCAAAACCACTGATACATCTTCCAATCTAATCCTCATTCATTTCTGTTTGGCAGCAATTCGGACAGAAGCTGTAAGAACCATTTCTGCTGGTGATACCTTGTGCTTGCGCTCACCAACAGTTGTTTTTTTTTCCTGGGGCTTTCCTGACATTTTCTTCATCACGTGCCAAAGACAGCAACTGGCAGGAGCCTGCTACCAGCAAACCAGCACACAGCCCTTTCCATGGGATCCAGAAACGATGGGAAAGGTCAAAGAAGAGGCCACATATCCTGTTCTTGTGACAAGAGTCGACTGCTTATAGTCTTTTTACTCAAATGCTCTGTACACTGCATGAGCAACAAGTCTGATACTTCAGAGGAGATTGGTAAACTTCAACCTCACTTGTTTAAAATGACATTTGCCAGCTGGAAGGAGAACACTGATATTTTGTTTAAAAATCATTTTCCTCCCCAAATGATTGCTTCACAGAAAACATTGTCAGAATTTGAAATTCCAGCTAGGCAGCAGGAAAATTTCTCACTCTTCAGAACAAATTTATTATGGGCTAGTCTTCAAGGCAAACAATTGGGAACCTTTTTATCAGAGCTGGTTAAAAAACATCATGAAACAGCTTTTGTGATGTTGCTGTAGAGAACGAACTCGTGCTGGCCAAGGAACACAAGTGGTCTAATGGGTAATGGCCCATCTACTCAGTGGCCTAGCCTGCAATGAACAAATTTCAGCAGTACCTCAAAAACCTCCTGGGCTATGAAACCACTTCTAGAAACCATCTATTGCACTGGTTTAAGTCTATAAACTGTAGGATTCTCAAGAGTACAAATTCTACGTACAACCAAGGCTTAGTTGTACTAGTGCAGCTAAAGCAATAACCCCTTCTTAGTAAAGATGGCACAAAACGCATGTCTTTTTCCCTTTTCCATAACTACAGAACAAATACACACAAGCACTATTTATATATCACATATATATCTCTCTATAAAAATCACTAGCCAAGTATAACTTCATTAACATTAAACAAAGCAGTTAGTTTAGAAAAGCCAAACAAAAATCATACTCAAAACCTAAAACTCTGCGATATACTAAAGATGTTATGGGGATGAGACCAACTCTCTCTGTGCAACACCCAGGAGGTGGTCGGTTCAGACACAGAGCATCATTCCCTGTATTAATATATTTTGAAAGCTGGAGGAGTCTCATGGAGGTAAGAGCCTAACAAAGACTGTTTATGATCTCCTGTGAAAGTAACTTTGTCCCTTTTCACAAAGCATCTAAGTTTACATATAGACATTAGGTGAAGAAAAAAAAAAGAACAAAATTAAACTTAATAACCTGTAGGAGCAAATTAATTTCAACTCATCTGTAGCATGTCCTAAACTACCCAACAAAGGGACATAAATTACCTTACCAATCTTAGCCACCTCTATTTCCTATTATTTTATTATAAACCTATATATTAACAGCCATATACGTGACCTAATCTCTTTTACCTTGTCAGTGATTTATGAGAGAAAAATTCCTCAGAACTAGGGCTGGAGAACATGCCTAATTATAGCCATTAAAAAAAAAAAAAAAGGAGGTAACAGACAACCTTTACATCTCACGGATTTCATTTAAGATATCCTCCCTACAATATTTATATTTGTTTCAACACGTATTTGCAAAGACAACTGAGAAGAAGAGTGCTTCTGAAACACAGTTCCAAAGATCTAATGATTATAGGAGTCATCTTGTGAGAGGAACAGCCACTTACTCAGAAGATAATTACATGTTTATCATTAACATAAATCTGCATTTAATTTTCTCTAACACTCAACAGCTATTAGTATAGTTAACATGGCTGCCACAGTCTGCCCTCCATTCTCACCAACCATCCTAAAATGGGGAAGGGAAGAAAGAAATCTGCATCAGCCAAATGAGAGATAAAGGAGGAAAGGTATGTAGAGCCTTCGAACAGCTTTTATGAGCAATATACAAAGAATCAAGAATTTATGCCTTAGATACTGGAACAAAGTGAACAAGCAAAACCAGTATTTATAGAAAAAAAAGCAATTTGATTTGCCAAGGAGTTCTGTGTTGGTTTTGCTATTATTGCAGATCCGTGGGTGTGTGAAGTTCATCTCTCTTTTCTGCAGCCTAGCATTTCCTTAGTCAGCAGTTGAGTCTCAACCTCATGTTTGGATAATTATAACCTGATCTTTTGAAAGAATCTGGAAGATCAGAAATGGCTTATCAACGCCCTGCTAAAAGAGCGCCAATCTTTACATTTCTCTTGCATTCTGTTACCATGATACTATCATCTATACCTGGGAAAAAAAAAAACAACCACACCAAAAAAAAAAACCACTTTCCCAGATCCAACACTTGTTTTGACCATGCTAAATATTACCTAAAAGTTTAGGGGTTTTTTTCACCTCTGTAGTTAAGATAAGCTGAACTAATATCATGGATGAAATTCACCAGTAGCACAGACCAGTGTAAAACCATTTAATTTAGTCTGTAGTGATTTAGATCTTACCAAAATCTTCTAAAAGAACGGTGTGGGGAAAAAAGAGAAAAAAAAAAAAAGTCTAACTCTGAAATCAGAGTTCAAATTAGAATCTGTTCTGAAGGGTCCTTTAAGACCTTTTTAAGCTTACATAAAAGATGCATTTGCTAATATTTCTAGAAGATGAACTCCTGCCTGACAGGTTCCCAATGTGAGGGGATATTGGAAATGAGCTCTAAGCATGCCAGCATCTCGTTCCTGTGGTACCTTCTGCACTTCTGTCCTACTCACTCCATGACAGCCAAGCGTACTCTGATCTCTTCATAATCAAAAGGTAAAAAAAAAAAAGAGTTACAAATTTTTTTAATAAAAACTAACTTACTGGGATCCTTTCTTCAATATTAAGCTCTTCTTTCTCTGGAGTTTCCAAAGAAGTTGCTCCAACAGGGATGAAGTTGTCACCTTTTGCAGGGGTGAAGAAGTGCCTGGAAACCACTGAAGAGCACCCGGCAGAGCCCAAGCCCCCACGGCTACTTTCTCCAGAACTAACAGGAAGATTCAAACTATCTGGGGAAATATCACTGAAATTGTCCATGCAGACATGACCAGTAGGAATACTTAGGCTGTGAGACTGATTTTCAAGAGCATCACAATTCTTCCAGTCAGCAGTTGGAGAGTTTCTGTTTTCTCTAAGGGGCGGAGAAACTCCTGCACTGGCAACAAAAACATTTGGGTCTGAACTTTGTCCTCTACTATTAATCTCTGCATCTTCATCACTAGATCCAGAAACAATCTCAGCTATAAACTTTTGTATCATGGAGCCTCCTAAGCTATCTGCAGATACTAAAACATTACTTTTTGCTTCTAGAGGCTGCACTGCCTCCATTGAGTTTGCTGGCGGAGTAACTTCAACCAAGGATGTGTTGCTACTAGAAATATTTACTGTGTTGTCAGACTGAGATCTAGTAAGAGGGTGGACAACGACTAAGTTTTTATTATGAAAACGCAAACTTCCCAGGGAACCTGTCTCTCCTAAGGAAGCAGCAACATAATCTTTGGGATCTCTACCACTTTTTTCTATTGACAAAATATTGCTTGAAGAACTGGCAATTGTGCTGTAGGCTTTCCTCCTAGGAGATGCTCCACCTGGGTCACGTGAAGTCACTGCATCAGGTGCCTCCTCTGGCTGACTCACGTTCCAAGCCCCTACCTTCTCCATGAAACTAAGTGATGGGAGAGACTGAATTCGTCCAGTGTCGGGATATTTCAATTTTAAGGACTCAAAATATTCATTGTTTTCTTTCTGAGCACATTGGAGTGCATGTTGCTTCTCAAGAGATACAAGTGTCCTGGTAGATAAACTCCCTGAGGTTTCTTCATTTAAGCAGGAAGGAGAGGCCTGAGTATCTGGTTTGATCACAAGGCCATCAAGTTCTTCTGCCTTAACATTTTTCTGTAGAAGTATCCCTGGAGTAGACTGATAGCTTGGATGAGCAAAGTGTAGAGAGAATGAGCCATCACCTACAAGATTTAAGGAAGGGGAAATACCTGTAACTTGATGGCCCCTCTCTATGGAAAAATCTGAAATAGTTAATTCACTCCTGCTCACTCCAGGTTCTACTTCCACTGGGGCATCCTCACTGCATGAAGAAGGAGCTTCCATGTTAGGCACAACCAGTTGTTTAGGTGCACAGTCACTGGTGCTTGACACAGCAGGGATAAACTCCCTTTTCTCAGATCTCACCGCAGGAGGTAGTTGTTTCTGCTGGTGATCTAAGAAAGCTCCCTGGAGTTCCTCAGTAGCAGCTGCGAATTTCAAGCTTTCAGAGAGATTTAAATCCACTTCACATTCCTTTGGCAGTTTGGCTATTTCAGAAGTCTTTGCAGAAAAATCATCTCGTGCATCTGAATTTTTACAATTGTCTTTCCCCAAACCATCAGATAAATTATCAGACACATCAATCTCAGGAAGGTTCTTTGCTTTTTCCAGTTTCTCTAGCTGCCTCATGCACCCTTCTGACTCACTCTCAGCCATTTTTACCTTTTCCTTTGGCACCTCTCTTTCACTTTTTTCTGAATTCTTAGTCAGTGCTGTTTTACAAGAGGAGTTTCCTGAAGATGAGAACTCATCATGTCTCAGCAACCCTTCTTCTTTCTCTGAAAGCTCAAAACCAGTAGCTGGTACATTGCTGTCATTGAAGAAATGTTCGTCTTTCACAGACGTGCTACAGGTCAGCACTGGAAGAGAAGCTTCCATTAGGCTCAGTCTAAATGCCTTGGATAGCATCACCTGGGAAGTGGAGTTTGCTAAACTGTCACTTGATGGGGGAATCAATGCCTCCTCATTAGTTACATTTTTACAGTCTTCATTTGCTTCCTTGCTCACAAGTAGTTGTCCAGAAAAAGAAGCTTGTTGAGACAAACCACCACTGCATCTGGCATCACAAGGTTCCACAAGTCTGAATGAAAAGGGATGCTGGGACAAAGTAAAGCAGTCGCTGGGTGCATCAGAGGGAGAGTCTGTCAGTGACACAGCTTCGTGGATGTGCAAAGGCTTTGAATGCTCCTCAGACACACCAGAAACATCAGGGACTCCTCTGTAAGAGGCAAGAAAAGCAAGCGAGTTTCTGATCATATTTTTTATTTCAACAGCCATATTCTCTGCTTTAACATAAGGGGCAAAAGTAGAACTTCACTCAAATAACTGTTGGTTTAGTAACATACACATATATACATCCCCTAAACAGGCCAGAATGAAGAAACGTAAAGAAAGTCCAAACAATTTCAAAGAACCCTATAAAATAAAGGTTTGAAAATAATACTAATTTCTACTTAGCATGTCAATATTTTTCAATCTATTTAGGACTGAAGTCTTTTTTACTAACGGAGTGTTTATTAGTTAAATAAAATATAGAAGTTACTTACATATAGAAATTTGTGTGTGTTATTTGTTATTTTTAATATAAATCACTACTTCGGTTTCACTACATCAATTATTTCTTTAAAGGATATAAAATAAGCCAGGTCCCAGATGAAGACAATCAACAAATTCCTATCAACTTCTAATATTTTTATTGTGGATTTTGAATTCATACTTATTTTATATGAAAATGATCATCGAGCCCCAATTATATTACTTCATGCAAATAGACCGCCAGCTCTGGTGCAACTGTGATCCACAAAGTGAAGTCACTGTTTATCCCCTTAGGTAACAAATCTGCCTCCTGTCACACAACAACAAAAAAAAATATACAAGGAAGCCTAAACATCAATGACACTGTAAATATGTGTGTTTATATGCACACTTTCTTTTTTTTTTCCTCTTTTTAATAAAGGGCAAAATATTTTTTGCCTTCTTTGCACAAAAGGAATCATTTATCACCCCTTGAAATGAAGGCTTGGAAAGACTTTTACTGGAATAGCTATTTCTTTATATATTCATACTTTATATAAAAATACGTCTTTTAAATTACTCATAACATATTACTCCAGTATATACAAACTACCATATTATTAAATGTGCATGTATGAATGTATTTACTACTGTAAATAGAAGCAGCATCAGATTTTTGTCCCCAGAATTTCATGAAGTTTATGTCAGAGTGTAAGAAAGCTAAAAAGATGTCTGAGAGGGTGGGAGGTTCCTCATTTCCCCATTTTCTTCAGGTACATTAGGGTAACAAGTTCAGAAGAGGCTTGTTCTGGTTTTCCCTTGTTCAAACTCTTTTGAAGGCAAAATAAAAAGATTAGCAGAACTCTGACAATGCTTTCTGTCTATTCAGAACAAAGAGTAAACCACATGGTTGTCTTGTTTCTGTGACCATAAAACTGTAATTACTTAATTCTCAGACGCAGGACAATTCATGGCCACTCAGGAAAAAGGGTTTGCACTCTGTCATGACACCAGGAAACTTTATCCTACCTTAAGGGAAAAAAATCCATTTCTGATCGCTGGATAAGTGTCTCATCTGACAATCTTTGGCCTTGTGTTGAATACATCAGCAGTGGAAGATGGGGAGAGAATTGACTGTCCTGAATATCTGTTAAAAATAACAATAACACAGTAATAAAAGCTTTCCAGGCAATCCCTCTTTCAACTGCTCTGCCAGCTAATACAGCCTTCAAAATTCAAAAACATGCCAACTGCAGTGAAAATGATGTAATGCCATCAATTAAATCCTCTGCTGAAGCATGTTCCCTCATGTATTAAATTCAGCATTCTTATCACGTATCAAATTCAGGTTTCTTCTCATCAATCTCAGAACACTGACATCTCCAACTTACCCTCTCATCCTTACACTTCATTCTGGGCACATCCCCGTCCTTTTCCACTCACCAGTCAGCACCTCCCCGCGTGATTTCCACGCGGACCATACACATTGGAGAATGTCCACAGGACTTCTACCCAGGTTTACCTCTTTAAAACCCAAGAATCCTCACTGATGCCTTCCCCAGTCTCCATTTTTCCATAAATATTCATTATAGCAAAGGCTGCATAGGTGTTTTTTAGCATTTCAATAATAAAGATTTCACTCATAATAGTAAAACTAAAACTATTTAAAAATAAATATTTCCATAACAATAATAAAACTTAGTCATCACAATTATACTAGTACCACTGTCTACTACAGTAGCAACACATTTTAGTTTCTATCCTATATTTCTTTGTTCTTTGAGGTCGTTGGCACTTCTTTTTCCAGTTCACTGCTTACAAAAACAAACCGAAATGTTTTATACCACAAGAACAGACACAACTATAAGCTGATAGCTGAGAAGTGTAAATGACTACATAGACGTGTGACAGATGAAAAAAAAAAAAAAAAAAAATCACTTCCAATACTTTGTTATGTAAGCTTTTTTTTTTAAAGCAAAAAAAGCTATTTGCCATCAAGAGTATGACTTTCAGAAGCAGAATTCATATTCATTTAATTTAGGTTCATTAGTTTCAACCATCTCAGACAAGCTATACTCTGCATCACTTACAGATGCATGATCACATCAGATAAGATGACCATTACATACAAATAAATCAGATTTACCTTACGTCAGCTTTATCCTGAGGCTTTCTACGGCCTGTATTACATCACCTGATGAGTGGTATCCAACCACAAGATGACCTTTCTGATTCATTTTTTAAATTTAATACTTCCAATCAACATTTTTTTTAAACTACTTTAGAACACTGTGTAGTAAGAGGATATTTATATGGATAGAAATAATTCTACATGACACAGGTTCAAAATTTGGATGCCCCCTAGTCCCACCTCAGCAGCAGCTAGAAAACTCATAATGTGACTGCAATATAGTTTCAAGGATTCCATCCTATCTGGGCAGCTGTCTCCACCACATGGCCAGCCTAATGTCTCCTAGTGGAAGCCAAATTTATACTTTAGCATCTGTAGTACAGATGGCACAAACACACTACAGCAACTTAAGTGGGGTGTCTCGGGTTTTCTAGCACCCAGTACCTCACTGAAGCTAAACTCTTCCCCCTTACTTTATTAGATAAAGTCATTGCACTAGTCACCACTCCATTTCACTTTAACTGTGTGCAATACCAAACATAAATGAAATGTTTTAAAAGCCACCTGCTTTTTTGGAAGTTTATAGGAAAGGAAATTATACGTATCTTAAAAAAAAAAAAAAAGGTACAAATAGCTACTCCTGAGCAACTTGACAAGAGGAGGCATTCAGAAGAGGCTCCAACATAGACTGGTAAGCACCTGTGCAAAGCTGGATGAAAGAATACATGTGAAAAGTGTAAAAAAAGCATAGAAAAAAAAACGGCAGCATCAGCACAGAGGGAGCAGGAGCCAAGAAAACAGGGAACAAGGTCAGGGATGTCTCATCTATAATACAACACTGCCTCAGGGTTCTACTATATTATAGGGCACAACCACAAGTGTGGTCTAATGTACCAGACTGATTAGTACTTATGTGATTTAAATCACAATTAGAATCATGATTTAAAAATCATGGAACAGGAGACTGATCTAATTCACTGTAATCTCCTTAGCATTTATTTTAAAATGTACTTTACAGAAAACAAAGAGGTTTGGTTTTGGTGGCTTATACTGACTTGGAAGCAGAGCTTTCACATTAGATTCCTTATTCCCAACCACTAACTGGGAGTAGACAGTATTTACAGTGCATTTATTCTGTTTAGTGTACATTCACTCAATTATTTTTTCTGTTATTATACTTGAAAATACTGAGTAGATTAACTATAGTTAGCCGGGATACAGAACTGCATTAAAGAAGCAAAAAATGTATTTTGAGAAACATTAAGCAAGTCGGAATCTAAACTCAGTTGCATTAGATGAACTTTTTTTTCCTCCCAAATCTTGTTTTACATTTAAAATTATATTAGTGAATAAAGACAATAGTAATTGCAGTTATCAAATTAGACTTGTCATCTCACATCATGATACACTTCAAGTTTTCAAGAACTGGCATCTCATTTTTATTCATACAATATTAGAGGAAAATAAGCTTTCCTGAATTTCAGCTTAACTTCTTCACTTTGAATGAAAATGCGTTTTCCAGCTAAACTGAAAATCAGGAGTCATTAAAGAAAAAGCTTTTCTGCACAATAAAGACTGGGTGCTGTCTTTGTAAATGAAGAAATAAAAAAGACTCTCAGAGGGAACCAAAAATAATTGAAAAAAAAAAAAAAGCTGTCAAATGCTGTCAAAAATAGATCTTGCCAAACAATTTTTTAATGTAACTACGCATGTATTGATAAAATAAATGTGCGTATATGCATATATATACACACCCAGAACAGAAGTCACAACATTTGGCTGATAAATCAACGTTTTAAAGATATATCAACAAAAATTTAAGTACCACTCAACGTTTCTATTAAGAAAAGTCAACCCGGCACTTACAACAGAAGAAAAATTATTTTGCATTCTCCAAGCAGAATTATAAACAGGAAATCCTTTCTGCATGGGTACACATCTAGGCAGCCCCTGCAAGAGCTGTTCTTGTCCCTGCCCTATTGGAAACTTCAGGAATAAGGATTTTACAGCAAAGTTGAGGCAGATATTTGCCAAGCAAGAACTATCCCCCTGCACAGACCACTGATACGGGACAGTTTGAGTCCCCTGGCATCACAGCATGGCAAACGATACAAGTTTTAGTGTAACTGAAGTCCAGTCATCTGCTGAGGGGAATAAAGCTGCCCAGCAAGTCCAACAGAGCCAAGGGCTACCTCAGAAACTAACAATTCAAATGAGGACTTGGGGTCACGATAAACAAACCACCAACAGGCCAGTGCAATACTGCATCCCAAATGGCAAGCAAATTTTTCATACCTATGAGAAAAAGAATAGTAAATTAGTAGTAAGACTACTCTTTCCAACCTTGTCCTGAAACTACTGTTGAAATGGTATTTTCAGGATCTGATGACCATAACTCCGTATCTGCAAATATCACAGGAGGATCAGAGAAAAAAATTGAAGAAACATGCCTCATCTCAAGAGCCTCCTGGAACTAAATCTGTGTAATATAATCAAAGAGAAGATTAAGGGTGACATGATTACATTTATATGTACGAATGCAAGAACAGAAATTTGGTCATTAACAGCGTTTCAGTACATGTTATATATAACAAGAATCCAAGCTATGCAGACCTAGGTGACATTTCTGAGTGCGCTGATACGATACAACAACATAGTTGGCTCTCTACAAAACATGCAAGGCAGTTCAGATAGACCATTAATGGCTTCAACAGTTATTGGAACAGCACAAGTCTCTTCCCTCCCTCCTCTGCCTCTTAGACGTAGTCCTGAGCAAAAGCCCCCAGATTCTCCATCTCTGCTTGAAGCAGTAAGACTACACCTCAGCAAGAAGGGACAGCCCCAACCTCTCCACTCCAGCCCAGAGGTGTTTTTCCCTCTCCTTTTGTTGCACAGGCAAGGGAACTCTGATCCAGCTGAAAACATAACCATCTCCATTTCCAACCCAATCAGTGCCTCTGAGTCTGAACAGCAAGTTGATCCAATTGCACCGATTCACGTCGTGGGTTTAGCAGAGGGGATACAGCAGAACAAGGAAAAGCCAGGCTCCTGCTTTTCAGTAGCAGAGTTTAGCTGACTAAATACACTGTGAAACTGTACCCTCAGCCTAGCCTCCATTTCAGGCAATCTTGCTCCCCTGACTTCTCCAGAGCATTCTGGTTTTGCCATGTAGCAGTAATCTGCCTTAGGCTGACAGTACCCAACCCTCCCCAGAGGTTTCCAGTCAGAAGAACTGTGGTGATGATCACTGACTTGAAGCAGATGACTGACAAGGCCACGAAAGAAGAGTGCGAGAAAAAAGGGAATGGAAAAAAAAAAAAAAAAGGAGGAAAGAGAATAGTCAAGATTCACTGGATTCACTGCAGCCACATCCTCGGTAGAACACCAGCTTGGCCCCTGCATCAACCTGCAGAGATGACCTGTGAAAGCACCCTTATGGAGTTCAATAGATGACATTTAACTGAGGATACAAAACTGATTTTTTTTTTTTATATATAAAATATAACTTCAACCATGTCACCTGTTCTACCTCCTCCAGGGTTTTTTTGAATCTTACGGCACATGAACTCTGATGTTTTCAGTAACTTATTTTCTTCAGGAGGCAGAAAGATCATCACTATCATACTTCGGATGCTTACGATGATTTAGGGGCTCATTATGCTCAGGCATAACCTAGGTTTTGCAGGCAGAGAAGCAGGTGCTCGAGGCTTAAAGCAGCAAGTGACGTCAGTACAACACTCTTCGAGCATCTTGTGTCAAAACAGTAATTCTTCCCGCTGTCGCTCTGAAGGTCAAAAGCTTCCTCACAATTGAATTCACTGAACAAGCAAAGCTGGGCATGCTACTTTATCTTACAGCCTGCTGACAATTCTGAATGCCAGAGTCAAATTGCCATTTGTGGAAGATAAAAAAGGAAGGCAAAACAAAAACAAAACCTTCTTGGCTTTGTCAATCTGTTCCACAATGTAGCAGGAGCAATTTCAATACAACTGTCATTGTGCTTCCCCCCCCCAAAT